GCGTGGCCTAAGAAGCTAAAATGCTCGAGCGCTTTGACCAGACCTAACGCCATTCCAGGCGGTGCTGACTACTAGAGACTGGCTAGATCACAGCGGCCCGTTTCCGGACGAGGTCGCCCGCATTTGGCATGGCAGCTGTGCCTGTCTCAGGCCATAAGTGAGTCGAGCCAGCACCAATGTAATCAGGGACCATTTCCCGTCCTTTCTCACGGTCTGTGGGAAGGCCGTGCTTGGAAAGGCCTGGACGCCTGAGCAGCGACGCTAAGGAATCCAGGTTGTCGGGAACCAAAGAGAGGGCTTACTGAGACATTCTGAGGTCGCCGTTAGTCCCAGTCATTCAAGACGAAAAAACATCCCTCTTCGAGAACACCCATAGTGCTCCTGGAGCTATGGCCATTGTCCAAGATCAAAAGGGGTTTCGCCGTGGCGGCAGCCCTTGGAGCTGTGCCTCTTCTAGAACGGGGCATCAAGCCTCGTCAAGTTCAGGCGTCATTCTCGCCAAATCTACAACGCCATTGAAGTCCGCAGACTTGCGCCTTTGACGTTGACCCCACAATCGCCGGATCGGATGCTGACAAGAAGTCGAAGAGATGGCCATTGGAAGGCATCCTCGGACAGTAAGCTGAAGAATTCGGGGATGGACAGAAGATGTTGCCAAGAGCCTGTAGATTCAGTCTGGTCTCTTGACGGATGGGCTATGGATGGGCCGAATAGTTGATGACTAAAGCCGCGCCAGTGGCCCCTAAATTGTCGCGTTGCGCAAAAACAAGCTTCCAGGAGGATCTTCCGTAAGCTTGAACCCGTCCTTGGTCGCGGTTCATAATTCAGTGATAGGCTACCATCACTCTGGTCATCGATGCTGAACAAGTACCCGGTTTTCTTTGCATTGCAGGCGTTGACCAATTGTGACGGCAAGATGCAGAAAAGCTGGTTGAAGCTGACAAGAATGCCTCGTCTGAGTCATCTCGTAAGAGAGCTTGGGGACAAGCGTCAATATCAGCAGGCAACGAAGAGGGGAAACTCAAATTGGAACAGGCAGCAGCCTCGTCAATCCAAGCTACATATATCTCAGGTCGTACAGCCTTTGGGCAAGCATTCAATCGCCCAGCTTGGTCGAATTCCCACCCTGAACTATCTCGTCAAATTTCAATCAATACTTGCGTGCGACATCCGACAGATTTGCACTGTACAACCCCGCACCGCCGAGGAATCAACCAAAACAATGAGCGACGATAACACAAAGTGGGAGCCCTCGAAGCCGGCCTCGTCGAGCTGGGACGAGGCGCGCATCATCCCCGCAGATGGATGGGAGCGCATGAAAAAGGGATTCACACCACAGGATATGGACGACCGCTGGGTCATTGTCCACCTCGAGAAGGACGGCGAGGAGAGCGTCGTCTTTGCCCGGAGTTGGACTGGATACACCCTGGGCAAGATCACGGTCGAGCCTGCAGGAGATGATGGCAAGAGCCGTCGGATAACCAAGTTTACATGGGAAACAGACAAGGAGCGATGGAATGTCGAGGATCCGGAGACGGAGGCAAGGGCCTTGGTTGTGAGATTCTCGAAGGGTGTTTTTCAGGTTGACGTGGCGGATGAGCCTGCCTCTGAGTAGGACAATGAGCCGAAGAGAACATGGACCGACTGGCCAGCCATCATACTGGATTGGAATTCCACGAATCAAAGAATCTTGATCAAGTGATAGGCAGTCCTTTCAAACACATTCAAGAGTTGGTAGAGTGTGATGTACCTTCGCATTAGGAACCCATTGGTGCCCAGTCTCTCTCTTGTGTAACGAGCTCCTCCCCATCGCCCGCCTCAACGAGACGACTTCCAAAGCCCACAATTTGTGGATCCTACGACAAAGACACGGATGTGGGACGAGCTAGCTACATATATGGCCTTTTGCTTCGACCCGGCAACAATCCCGGTGTTTCCCGAACACCAACATCCGCATCTGTAGTGTAGTGGTTATCATCCTTGCCTTCCATTCTAACTCCTGGTTAGCAAGGGACCCGGTTTCGATTACCGGCGGATGCATCACGCGGATGACTATCCTTTTGCTTTTTCTCTGCATCTCTGAGTCTGTTGTTGAGTTTTTTACGAATTCTCCCCAGTCGCCCACAGAGACGTCCTAGTCTGTATATAAACATAATTGATTACATGCATTCTTCTGAAGCCTTTTGATGCATACCATCACGTACAAGAGTTCCGCGGCCAAAGACATGTAGAGCAGGTCGAGGTTGGAAACACAGGTCTCTGCAAGTGCAAATACACTGTAAGAACTTGATCTTTAGACGTGAAGGGATGTGTTTCCATTGTTCTGTCTTGGACTCAGACTGACCACCAAGGATTCACATCTATGTTTAGGCCTGTCCCTATGTGCTTGTCGTTCGAGTCCTTTCAAACTGCTCAAAAAGAATGAGCCAAGTAGGAAAAGGTAAGTTGAATCCTGTATCTGCCTAAGGACTTCAAAAAAAAGGCGTGCAGTAGGTAGCCGAGTGTATACGACCCTGCAGGCGAGAGAAGCAGGCTGGGACAGAACCGAGCTTCCACATCGTGATCTTTCCCTTTTCGAGGCTGCCTTTGCGCGTCGGCCGGCTCAAATGTTCATGGATGCATACACGGGCACACCAATGCAATAAACTGCGGCCGAATCAAATGATATCCCAGATTATGTCCGTGATTTTCTCCCCATTTGTTATATCGGTCTTCGGATCTGATGCCTCTTACCCCGTGCCGGGTATTTGAGTTGCATGCGGCACGGGTAGACCGACCTTCCCGAAGAAGTGAGGGTCACAGTGCATATGAGCCGTCACTCTCGCCATGCATGAGTAAGAGGGGATAAGAGACAATTTCATGTTGTCATCACACGTGTTGAGATAGCCGTTTGCTTATGTGAATTAATGTTACATTGTCATCCTCTTTTTGGTTCATCTCTCAGCTCGATATCCTACTAGGTGGCCAATCAGAATCGACATTTCCCCCAAAAGGCTTGTTCTGATGACCTTTTCCAAAGCCAAGAAAAGCATCGCCAATCCAGCTACATTTTCATGCAAGCCGTGCGTCTTGACTTGGGCCCTGAACTTGCCCACAATCAGCATGTTTCGCCTTGGCCTATAGACTTGGCAAGATCACAGTACGGATAGTACTTTGAGAAATTGCTAGAACCCGAGTCACAACGGCATGAGGCATACATGGGGTACATGCGCAATTTGCTCTACAGGAAAATTGCTTTACTGTAAACTCTATGATGGAGCTTGAATGGGGTAGTCACTAGCATAACCCGTACACTGTCATGAGATTGAGCGCCAACTGACGATCGAACTATGGCTTGGACAGTCTCAAAACTCGTAACCCAAACGCGAACCGCACCTAGTCATCTATCTCTCCTCTTTAATACTAATTTGCAAAACGATAGTTCTTTTGCGACGCCTGAGGCGACTGTGCCAGGTTTCTCACAAGACAACAGTGGAGGAAAATTCACCCGCAGGTGGCAGGTGCCACAAAACCATACATGTAAGCAGGCTATACGGACATACCCAGAAATGACTCGATACCTTGGAGCATAGATCATGCGCGACTCCGAGTATTGTATGCAAGTCAGCGAGAGTGTTGTAGCCGGAATCAAGAAAGGAAGCTGTCCCAGGTGTGGAATGCAAGTCAGCGCCGATATTGGAACTTCCGTGACTTCGTCCAGACTAGAAACGGCAACTTCGGGATGTTTGGTCTAGACTCAAGATCGAGCCTCTGGGGGGTTAGAGCGGTATTGCTCGCGATGAGATAATATCCAAGGAAAGCTGGTAAAGATGAGATCTTGGAAGATATATTAACCTCTCCGTGCCACGCCCATCCCCCTCGACTAGGTACCTCATCATCCACAGTCACCATCTGCTCTTACAGTTTCAAGCATAGTTCCTGGCCTCTTTCACGTGTTCCACCATCTCTGACAACTACAAAGCCAAAATGCAGTCTATTCTCACCATTTCCGCCCTGATCACCGCCGTCTTCGCAGGCGTAATCCCCCGAGACGAGGACAACGGACCCGTCAACATCCCTGTCGACAGCGTCGGCAACCCCAAGGGTGATACGGTTCAGGCCATCACGCACTTGTACATCTGCTCCGACGCCAACTTCTCCGGCCGTTGCCAGAACTTGGAGTCCAACACCGGCCAATGCTGTAAGTTGATACATGTCCAGGACGTGATCACGAAAAGGAATAGGAATTATTACTAAAGTCAGGCTGCATCTAGACGACTTGGGCAACGGGTTCAACGACGTTGTTTCATCGCTTGGGCCTGATGCGGGAACTTCTTGCACTATCTGGGAGTAAGTCTTTCTCGATATTACACATGCCTTCTAGCTATTCTAAACAACTCATTTCACTAACGCACCCACAGGAATGCTGGATGCACGGGAGCCTCCATCGTCAATATTGTCAACCCTGGCATCTACAATCTCGCTGACTCCAACTGGAACTTCAACGACAAGAGTACGTACCCGTGCATACTTCTTGGCTTCCACTCAAGACTAGAAAGAAACATATTCAGACAAATTGCTGACTACTGCCTTTGCTGCTAGTGAGCTCCTACCGGTGCTTCTAGGTCCGGGTCACGCACCTTATCCAGCACCGACGATCCAAAACTACGGTCACTCTGAGGCGGATGACAGATAGCTTTAAGCGGTGCCGAGCGTCAAGTTGCTTCATAATATGGTTCCAGGACGCGTTGCAGCTCCTGGAGTATTCTTTTCTCATGGTAGAGAGTTTGAAGGGCATATAGGGATAAGAGAAGAGAAGTAGGCCCAAAGTTGGTTTAGTAGTTATAAGAAGTCATCTAGATCAGTGTCTGCCAAACCGTTCACAAAGATCGACTGTGTGATAACTGTAAAGAACTTGCAGACAATCCCATTTGGCATCTTAGTAAGGGGAACGCAAGCGGCAAGCTCAAAGCTTTTACACTACCTCAGTCAAAGCTAGGCGATAGTCCGAAACTATAGCTTCAGACCCCCATCATAGGCATGAACCCGGTCATTGCTTCGCCCTTTTTGTAGTCATAGAATGACTGCTCACACACCATGACTTGCAAATCGTGCTCCTCCATGTACTTTTTCAAATCTTTCAAAAGAGCATCATCGATCTGCCCAAACTTGATCATAGTTGTTCCGCCACTCTCTTCTTCCTTGTCCTCGTAGAATGGTTCTGTTGCGTTGCAGACCACGTCGAGACCAACGACTTTGCCCTTGCTATCTTTAGCATGGATAAGCATACCGCGATCGAGTGATTTGAACGGCAGAAAGATTCTGTGGAGCTCAGAGGTGAAGAGAATTCCTTGGTCCAGGAAGTGAACGAAACCTGTAGCCGTCAGCATCACGGAAACGTTTGCGCTGGTTTGTAGGATTATGGGGGAATATTTCCGTGACCGTACTGTCGATATTGGATTCGATGTTCGACCCCATTGGCGGTGAAACAACACATTCCACTCCGGTGAGTTTCGCATCAGTGTTCTCTGTTATGTCAATCACTGACTTGTCAAAGGCTTCAAGCTGCTCGTTGAACACTTTCTTGAGAACATCGACATATGTACCCTTTTCGTCCTTTACGAGAACGCCACCGAGCTCCTCGTCTGCCTTCTTTTCAGGCCAAATGAACGATATGATCTTCGGATACTCCCGTTTGATCGAAGATGCGCCTGTTGCCCCAGTCGGTATGATGACAACTTCATACGCCGCTTCCTTTGAAGCTGACTTGGCTGCATTTGGAAGCAAAACGACTTGCTCTGTGGCCCCAGTGAGAAAGAAGACCTCCCTTGAAAGCAGCTTCACGTACCAATATGTTTAAATGGAATCAAGAAGATTGCATCCCAAATACCATCCTCGCTTTTGTCAAAGTAGTCCTTGGGTCCACAGAGACGTATCGACCCGTCGCCGGGCCCCTCACTGCCAGACATGACCTCGATGCGGCCATCGCAGGTGAATGGCGACGAGAAGGGGACTCGCGGGGTGCTAAGATTGCAGAAGCCACAGCCCATCCCGTGCAGATCACTTATACTGACGCCCTGGTAATACTGTTTCGTCCATTCGCGCCCCTCCATCATGCTTTTTTTGTTCTTAGTTTTCCGCTGCTTCTGGATGCCGTCTAGCTCCGACGCATCGACCGGGTCCCGCTTACGCTTCGCGGCCCCTTATGTGGCTTTGGCGCCGCGACCACGACCACGACCACGACCGCGGGATGAACCTCCTCGCGGCGGCATGATATCACGTTTCCAGTGTTGAGATGTTAAGGGTCGCAGTTGGGCAGAAGGCAACGCAAAATTGGGGACTCGAGGGCTGTGACAAGCTTCGCAACAGATGTAGCTTGCGTCTCCGAGATGGCTAAATGATCGACGCGTTTTGTGCGCCTCCACTTCTGGAGGGGGACGCGTCGCACCCTTGAGAGCCCAGGCGCATGATGTCACGAGTCACTCTTTCCATCGAACTCACCTTACTCAACAGATGACTTCAGTGATTATCCCAATTTAACGGAATCTTTCATCCAAAGTTTCGACCAATTGCTCACTCTAATTGAACAACTTGCCACTTTCAACGCTAGAACGTGGCTCTCAAAGATGTGGCTGCGAAACGCCGCAGGTGGCTGATGGAAGCCACAAGAGGTGAAAACAGGTGCAGCCAGCCAGCCAGCCAGTGACCGCTGTTCATTGTTGCCACGGCTTCAAGATCAGATGGTAATAGCATTTGTGCAAGAGGCAGGTAACAGGGTGTACGAAATAGCAATGGGCAGAATGTCATTTTTCATACCTAGATACTAGTACCGTATTATTCAAAGATTGTGGTCCAAGTACGAACTTACGAACTAGAGATCTGAACCTTAACCTTCTGAGCGCCTACAACTCCTCCATCCGGTGCAGTATTCCATTCGCCGGTCAAGGTCACCTTACACCATCGGTAGCTTCTCAAACTTCATTCATTTCAAGCGCAGTTTGCCCTCATGCCGCCTTTCCATCTAATGTACCGACTAAGTTGACCAGTGATGGAGTAGACTCGAGATTCAAGCTTGAGCATCTAACATCAACCAACAGAGGTTTGGTTAGGTATCCGTACTTACATTCTCTGAGTGGAATGATGCTGCCTCTGGGTTGGAGGGATCAGCATCCCACCGGCCGCCCTCCGGTCGCCCGGCGTCGCTGCCCGGGGTTTCCTTTCAGGCATGGCCCAACCCCAACCAAAATCCAATCAAGCGCCCAAAGTCCCTTGCAAACCTTCCAGGTCCGGTAAGTGGAGCAAGACTTCTGCGAACCCTGAAGTTCGGGATGCAGTTGTACAATACTCCGGCGGGCGTAAATCCGTAGGAGACAGCGATGGACTAGAAATCAGAGCATACTGAGATAGTAGTGGTTATTCTTGTCATATGGTAGGCTTTTAACGACAGCTCTGCACAAGTCACTTTCTGTATCCTGCCGGGCCGACCTGCCAGGTGAAGAAAACCACCAGATATCATCGTCATTGGCAACTGGCGGAAATTTGTTCCCATGCAAACGTCAACTATCGCCGCACTCGACCAACGGGTAGCGGGCACCATCAAGATGGAAACTGCAAAGGTCATGATTGTATGAGAATCTGACGGACACTTCGTGGCTGAAAGTCTACCCCGGAAATGTGAATAAATATTGACAACCCGGATCGCCAGGGAGTCCTTAAGACCCCCTCGACCTTCTTCCCACCTCATCATTAAACGCGTAATCGCAAAACTTGCAACATACGCCACTCTTTTGAAAATATCATCACAATGCGTCTACCTAATCTTCTCGTTGTCGCGATGCTCCTCGGCCTCGGCACCACCGCCGCCTTGCCTATCGAAGATGTCATGGACATGATAGACTTCGACGACGTCGCAGACTCCGCAATGGCAAAACCACCTCCTCACAAAGTAGAAAAGCCATGGATGATGTGGGGTGTAAGGAAACCACCAAAGAAACAACAAGACCGTACTGAGGACTAACAATGATGTAGATGTGCGCCATAGCATCGAACCAATGCATCATCCACGGACCCCACGGTGAACGCAGATACCAGTGCAAGAACTTTGTTCGTACAACCCCGTCTGTTCTGACTTCTATTCCAGTGACATAAAAAGCTGATGCTCTTCCCCGCTGTGATAGTGTACGAGAGATGGGGGTACCTGTCGTGGACAATATACGACGACACCACGCATCAAGACGAGGTCCCATTGCAACTGAAGTGGTCTTGAGTTTGATGATGGCGGTGGGCAAAGCTCATGTCGTCAAGTCTCCTCATTTCAGCATTGGATTGGATCGAGACACGTATCTGATTCTTTATGTACCTTGGACGTTTCGAGACGCGAGACGTACAACTCCCACTTGATTTTAGGAGACCCTAGATGCTTGGAAATGATTTTATTACTTTCGTGTATCCTAGGAGAAGAACATCGCGAATTTTAAACCTTCAAACCCAATTACAACTTGACATTCGGAATCTCAAACGTCTGCACCATCTTGGTCTCGAAGTAACTCCAGAACTTAGTCCCGCTGATAGTAGTATCAGTCGCCTGCACATAGCGATCACCACTTCCAATCTGCGTCCTCCACCGCGTGACAGTAGCACCGTTCGTCGACGCCTGCGAGAATCCGCTCAAGTCAAAGTTGAGGTACTGCGCCGCGCCCCAGTTGACAGCGACAATAATAAGCTTCGAGTTGGCCGCATCGTATGCAGCGACGACATTATCCGAACCACCATCCAGGATACGCATGCCTTCGCGGATGTGGCGCGCAAACTGCGCAAAGACAAAGTACTTCTGGTTCGCCGAGCCCAGCGTACCAGCCTCATTGTCCGCGTCGATAACACCCCAGCCGCCGCCGTCAAGAACCTGCCAGTACACCCAACCCGTGGGTCGCAGCCACCGGAAGTCGAGAATCATGTTGCTCACGAGCCTCTCGCCCGTCGCGTCGCTCTCGCCGTACTCGCTGTTCCAGAGACGGAGGCCGCGCGCCGAGGCGAGGGAGTAGACCTTGTCGCGGGCGCCGCTGGCGTACTGGTACCCGTGGACGTTGATCCTTGCGACGTTCTTGAGGGCGGCGTCGCCGAGGTTCTGGAGCGTGGTGACGGCCTGGTCGTAGTAGGACTCGTCCGAGGCGGCGATGGACATGCTCGTGAGGCCGCGGTTGTTGAGCTCGGTGCGGAGGTAGTTGATGATTGTCGCCTGCGTGGCGACGTCAATGTGGCAGCCTTCCTGTGTGCCGTCGGCCTTCCACCAGTTCGCGGAGGGCTCGTTGAAGGGCTCGACGGTCTCGAAGGTGATGCCCCAGTTGTCCTTTGCGTACTTGGCAATGTTGGCCATGTAGACAGCGTGCTGCTGGAGGTTCCACGACTGGATGTTCTCGCTGCCGTCGGCGGAACCCGAGGGGTTGTGGTTCTTGGTCGCCCACCACATGGGCGAGTTGGAGAAGAGCTCGAAGCGGTTCGCGCCGCGGCTCTTTGCCTTTTGCATCATGGTGCGCTGGTTCACGTCAACGTCCCACTTCCAGGCAGACGAGGCTGGGTCGGTGTTGGTGTAGTCGACCCAGTGTCCGTCGATCTGCCGGGACGCCATCATCTTGGTCGAGACCACCATGCTCTCGCCGTTGATGCTGTTCGTGCTGCAAGCGCCGGCATTGTGACGAACGATATTGAAGCCGAGACCGGGGAGGCTTGCGCCGCCGAAGGTGGTGGTCTTGGTGGTGAAGAAGATGTCGGCGAGGTCATCGCGGGTGCCGAAGCGCTTTGCCCACCAGGCGAGAGAAGTTCCCCATCCCTCCCAGGTGCCACGGTTCGACTTGGCGTCGATGGTTGTCGTTGTGTCTGCGACGGCGGGAGAGACGGAGGCCAGGCTCACGGCCACGGCGGCGAGAGTCTTGAAGTGCATGGCTGGAGAGATCTGAGAAGCCGGGGCCTGCTGGGACAAGGACTTCAGATACAACCCAGGACAGAGGTTCGTCTGCTTCTTATGCTCTCACGATCCTACGCAGCCAAGTTGACCTCCTTCCCTCGGGTGAGATGATGGGAGCAGGGGCGCTGACTCGAATGGTGGACCTCGTATGTTAGAGTGCCATCGTAAACGGGGATACGCGGGCCGTGTGATGGCTTCAGTCTCTTAGAAAAGGAAGCTAGAATGGCCCGGCCTAACGGTTTTATTCAGTGGTAACTTAGCCGGACCATTGGTCGTTCGTCGAAACGGCGGTTGGGACGCTTCTGGGAAACGGAGCTCGGTCAGTTGGGTCCGGCACGGATGTGGCGTCGATGGTAGTTCAGGATCACGTAGAGTCTCGAGCTCAAGCTGTGCCCCGCAGTCTGAGCGAGGATGCGAGGGGTTCATTCCATGTTTAGAGTTAGATTATCAGCGACAACGTGGTGCCGGGATCCGACGGACAGTAGTGACAAATTGTCCGTGAATAGAAGGCCGATACGAGCTCGATTATGATCGCCAAGCTGTATTCTACTACGGGATCGTTAGTCAAGAGTAAGATAGAACGGCGAAGGGGCAGAAGGAAAACGGATCTGATTCATGGCGGGCGTGCCTGGAAAATACTGTACAAGAATGCGCAAAGCGATCACGGGTATGGATACGATACCAAACGTGTCCCCTGAATATCCTGAGTCACGACATCAGTCTAGGCCAAATGCGTGGCCCGCCGTATCCCGTTTGCCAATTCATATTCCAACACATCATCATCATCCCTCAAAAGCCGCCAATGCCTAGCTCCAATCCTCCCCTCATATGCGACCCAATGTGCGTGCCTGGGAAACCCCCAAGCTCGGTAGAATGGTATGCTGCGCGGCTAGTCTAGACTGTCTAGTCTGGAGAACGCGGGGAAAAGTGCCATGCTGGATGGTAACATGCATCGAGAGGTGTCAGCGGCGCAACCCGCTGCCGCGTCTGCATTGGCGGAAGATCATGCAATCGGCATTTGGTACCTGGTCCGCCCGGCTCCGCGATCCGCGGATATGTCATGAGACTTCTGCCAAATTTAGTCGCAATTTGGGGTACATTTGGCCATGGATTAGCTCTCGGGGCTAAAGCGGGACAACCTGCTTGTGAAATACAAGTTAGCTGGGTTTTGAGCAAACGTTTGAACAGAGTATTGACATACAGCCCAACGGCAAGTTTCCATAGCAGGAAAACAGATAACGGAGTCGCAAGTATGCTTGATCACAAGCAATTGTGGTCGATGAGCTGATAGCAAGCTTAGTCATAGCCACGGTGCATCTGCATTTGCATTAGAAACGGACAAAGCTTGTTCGAACAATCAACGCCAACTTACCTTTGCAACTTGGCGACTGTGTAATGATACAATGCCGCGCAGGAAAGTGGGATAAAAGGAGCCATTCTTCCCGGACAAGAGCTCAGTAGTAGCTCAAGACCATCAGCGCCGAGCTTTTCTCTTTCTAGTAGGCGTCTGAGGGTTGTTCAAGCTCGATGTTCGCATGCCTGCTCTTGAGTTCCGCGCAGTCGACTTTTGGACGATGGTCTTTGAGCTAGCGGGGGATTTATCCAGACCAGTTGTTTTGTCCGTCAATCCCAACCGTCCAACAGCTGTAGGCGGCGAATCGATCGGGGTTCCAAGAATGACCGGTAGCCCGGATCTAGAAGGCGCAATGGGTTTGTTGCAGGCCGCCGAGGGAGTTGGCATGCCCTCTCGGATTCTGGCTTCAAGCTCGAGCTTTCTGGCAATCTTGACCTTGGCCTTCAGAGCGTAAAGCCCCTCATTCAACGTGGCCATTTGCGCGAACAAGCGCTGATTCTCGGCATCGAACGCGTCCCTTTCGGCCTCGGCTTTCTCGACAGCAGCGAGAAGCTCGGGAATCTTATCGGCAGGATAGGGTATCACTCTCGGCGGATGACCAGCCTCAAGAGCCTCAACATCGTCTATGGCTCGCACAAGTCGAGCATTAGCGACAGCCACGCATTCGTCGAGGATTATCGGGGTCGTGTTCTCTTCGCGTGTCAAGTCTTTGTACAGCGTCGACGTCTCCTTCAGCTCGTCTCCCTTCTCGTTATGGGCGACGATCACATCGCGAAGCTGCCTATTTGCCTCTTTGTGAGAGATGAGTTTCGGTCCCTTGGGAGTGGCTTTGCGGCGCTCGGAGGCCGGCTTGGTAGGGGTCGGGGGAGCTGAGGAGGCACTCGATGAACCGGTGATGTCCACGTCGGGGGTCTTGGCTCGACGGGCGCTGTAGAGATCGAGGGGAATCGGGGTGTCGTTGACTGGTGTACCTCCATCGTCCGTCGTGGTGCCGGTGGTGCCTGTGGTGATACCCATCGTCGCTTCCGAAGGAGTGGCGGCCGACATGTTCTCGGTAGTTGCCCGCGGGCTGGGTTCCTTCGTCCTGGCTCTGGGAGTCGTTTTGAATTCCTCGGACTTTTCAGATTCTTCTGTCTCGGTTTTGTCGGGAGAAGTTGGACTCAAGTCGTCTGCTTCGTGATTCGCGTCCTGAATGATACGGTTGTCGGGCAAAGGAGAGGATAAAGATGCAAGAGGAAGTCTGTTGCGACCGGAACGAAGGCTGCCGCGAGTAGGAGATGAGGTATTGGATACCTGGGAGCCAAGATTGAGGGATTCACGAAGTCTTCGGATTGTCAAAGGTGAATCTGGCTGGTGGCTGGTGATGTTCTTGCCAACAGCAGGAGAGGCAGAAGCGGCAGGAGCGGCCGGGGGCCCACCTCCTCCCATACTCCTGGTTCTAGCCATCGTGGTGACAACTTCACCCTCAATTTTCTTCCAAGGAAACAACAGTCAGCTCGAACACTCGACTTCAAGGAAACAGCTCGAAGAAATTCAGACGCGCAGTGGAGGAAACTCACGATCGGATCGCACAATCTGTCGCCTATCCTTCAGCTCAGCAGTGTGCTCGTTCGCGATGGCGGCCGTCGGATATCGCGGTTAGCAAGAGACGAGTCTTGAAGAGCAGAAGTATGGAGACATCAAATAGAGGTTGAGGGAGCAGAAGATTTGGCAGGTTCGCATTAGAAGCTTGGATGTCTTCAAGCGTTACGAATACTCCCCAGCTAAGGCCTTCGAGACGGGGCAGCGCATCGTGAGCATTGTTCTCCGTCAGCAAGAAGATAGCGGCCAGCGAGAGCAATGAGCAGTAACACAGACAAAGACTGCATCATACTCTTGCTCACTAGACATCTCGAAAGGCTCCTGGTGGGAATTTATTCCTCTAACAAACGCACCACGCTCAAGGAAGCCAAGTACGTCCCCTTCTCCATTATCCTTTCACCAGGGGAGTCACCATTGACATCATTCCAGTGCCATCCTAGATCGCACCGACTTTTATTCGAAAGCTTTGACTACAAGCCAACAGCGTGGCGGCTGCCACAGGATCTGCCTGATGGCTGCCAGCGGTGACGAGCTCCGGTCTGATCTGGCCAGTTGGATTGCCAACAGCACGATGGCAAAGGCCATCACCCTCTAGAATACTCTTGAGGCGTTCTCATATTCCACCACAGAATGTGAAATCATGGCAGAACTCCAGGTCACAAACCGATTCTTGAATATAGCTAACCTAGGTAAGATGACTCTTTTCGCGATAACATTACAGGAGTATGGATGCTAAGTCTTCATTCAGGTCGACAAATTCACTCTACAACGTGAAGCGTGTTTACCCTCGATTTCAAACCGACATAAGAACTACCTCAGCCGAGTTAAGGTACCGAGCCTGATCAATCCCCGGGCCCAGAAGCCTAGGCACCGAGAATGCAGGAACAGTTCAAAGTCTCGCCTGCCAACTTTTGGAAGGCTCTGATGACACCTTGATTTCCGCGCTTCACCCAAGCATTCAGCAAGCGGCCGTCTCCTATAGGCCTTACCGCGGCCATCGGCAGCCAATCTCGTCAACAATGGCGGCTCAAAGAACTCCCTACCGAGATCATCTACAAGATATTCCCATCGTACTCACTGCGGGAGCAATTCACTACCACTAAATCGGAAGTAGAGCTTGCGAAAAACGTACAACCAGAGTCAGCGTTCCTTGATTTTTCAATATCCGTCCCCGGGCTCTTATATCGATGCTGAGACTATTATCTACGCTCAGCTGCTCATCGATGGATCGCCCTAACATATAGATGATGCCTAATGAAAGGGAGCGGGATTGTGTTGCAGTGTAAAAGTCCGTCATACCCGACGACATGCTCGCTCTCCTCAATCTTTACCCTGAGTTCGGAGTCTGACGTAACTTCAGTATTCGCTCTTAGGGATCATCAAATCCTCGGCCCTTACTTCATACCAATTCTCTAATCTAGCACAACTGCAGGTTGTCGATCTCAAGCAAGACTGTATTCGCTCTGTTATCTTCGACACCAAACGCCAGTCAAAAGAGGCCTTTCATCATGGCTCGCCTAGCGTAACTTATCATTCAAACCTGAAGGGTTTTGCACCATCCACGGGCCCTGTCAGCACCGCCAAACTTGGCTTCATTTTGAGGAGGAAACGCCAATGTTGCCTTCTACTGCAGATCTCGTCCTACAAAGTTCATCTATTGGCCTGATAGTTCGATCCTGATCCTGTTGAAGGTCTGTTCCCAAACATAAAACCACTTTCTTTGGTTGAAGGAACACGCAATACCTCTTCATTGAAGCAGTCGGTCGCAACCAGGGAGACCTTGTAGCGACAAGACCCCAGACCGAGGCGATGGAGGTATCTTTATGCGAACAAGATCTTCTGGTTTTCTTTCCGCATTCGGAAAAGGTTTCCCATCCTTTGTCTATACCGCGGACGATGTTTTCAAGGTTCGGGACACCTTTCACCCCGTACGCATCGCAGTTGGCCAAATCATTGCACATGATGAGAAGCTTATCATCTTTGAAGAAATGTGCACCGGCTAGCCATGACCCAAAGAGCAGCCCTGCGTGCGCTTGAGAGAGCCGAGAAGAGCTTCGGCAGAGCGTTTGAATGGAGCCCATGGAGCGCTTTCTGTTGGACATTGGACCACTCTGCTTTATAACTAAGTACTCTGTATGAGATAGCTAATGTCCAGTCTCAATGATAGTTATGGGACAGCCTTTCCGCCAGACGGTCCTCTCGGCAACAACTTTCTCTCGCCTATCAGACTTGTTTGGGAGAAAGATGATTTCTCAGCAACGGCGGTGATGATGACCATGGATTCTCTTCTGTGATCCACTCCGTTGTCCGTAACTTACTCAAAGCGTTTCTACTCAGAATTCAGCCACTCTTGCCGCGTCCAAGCTTTGCATCAAACAGAGACTGGTGCATAACCTTTATGTCGTTTACAGAGGCATGGACTCAAGGTTATGGACAATCATTATTGAGCTGTGAGAGCCATTAAGCAGGTCAGTCTGACTTTCAAACCCCGGGAAAGTCGCTACAGCAAAGCAGTACAATCTTAGCGGCGTTCAACGCAAATGGCACAAACATCGTTCTTGATGAGGTGCGTTGCTGCAAGAATAGTCTGTCGGCTCTTTGCGTCTTCCTAGCCCATGAGGCACAGGAAAATCTCACCATCGCCACGGCCACCACTACGATCCCAAGGCCATTTCGCCCATTCACTTTACCCGCCATGGAGCCGGCTTGGTTCAAATATCGCCTACTACTTTGGGTAGGAGCGCTTTCAAAGCATCGAAAATATCGCCTGGTGAAAGATAATCACTGTAATGCTCCTTCCCTCTCATCTCACTTCATACGAGAAGGAGCTATTCTGCTTATCCAAAGTCAACTTTCCACATCAATAGCTTTTGCAATCTCTGCATCCATCACTACATCCCTCCACAAACTCCTCACTTGCAAGAACCCAAGACTTCCCTTCTCCCACAAACCACCAGAGATTACTGTCGAAGGAAGAAAACTCAAACACACGAGTAAGTCTGTGCTTTCAAATTTCCTCTCTCCCTTGGCTAACAAATGGCTTAGAATGGCACCTTCACTCGAACAAAGAGTCATCGAGGCACTCGAAAAGTGCTCCACTGACACAGACACCCCCTTCGACGATGTTCTGCGCGTTGCGCTGAAGGTCACGCAGAAGATGCTTGAGCAAGCCGATCCACCCGAAAACGTTCTGCCAGTCGCCCCAGCTGTGGCATCTGTCCCTCTCGTCGCTCAGATCCCTCCTCCAGCAGTCATCCCACGCCCCGAGTCAACTCCTGCTCACGCTGTCGCCTCGCCCGTCGTTCCTGCCAACACTGCTACACCTGCCGCTCGTCGAGTCCTTCGTGCCGCGCTTCCTCTGGCAATGGCTTCTGCCCGCAAACGAGCCGCTCGCGAAAGCGTCTCGCTGACCCCGACTGTCGGTGACGAAAATGACGACAAGGACGAGTTTGTCTGCGAGTTCGCTGGCTGTGGTCGCTCTTATGAGCACAAGGGATCTCGCACCCGTGTAAGTGTCTAGTCTTTCCAAACTTGTGAAACCTTTGCTGACTTGATTTTCTACAGCACTACAAGGTCAACCATGGCGGTCAGCGTCCCAGATCGAAGTAAGGGCCATTCTGCAATTTTGCGGTTCCAGCGTTCGTTTTCAAAAAAGAATTCTTCGCATAGAGGCCTTGAGTGGTAGGACGCTCGGGACATCATTCAAGTGCGAGAACTGACTCCAACTGCGCAGACATGCGTCAAGTTTCTCCTCATATCCGTCAGCTATAGGACTTACGCTACCTAATACACCCTAGTTTTGAACATGGTCTCCTTCACAATTCTCCTCTCGTTGAATTCTGATATGATTATAATATTTATTCATCATGGACCAACAAAAATTCCCCACTCCGGGCCCTGTACCTTAAGCAAAACCTGATGCCAACCGGTGTCATTATATTGGGAAGGACCATTTGGCCTTGGTTTCTCCCGACGGCTCGATTGGTCTGCGTCCTGGAGAAGGCATTGCAAGTTGCGACGCTGTTCAGCTGGGCAGACTTTCGCCCGGCACACTATATAAACGCGTGCACCCTCAAGATCACGAATCCCGAGATCTTAGGCGACTCGGCGGCGACGCACCTATAGAAATTCTGGCCAGGCTCTCACCATCTTCAAAGGCCTCTCAAGAATAAACAGTACCTCGCGAAGGAGTAAATGAAACACCTTTGCTTGCGGACTGTGCTGGCACGGCCTGCTTCAAAGGATAGCTCACGGGCCTCCTGGCCTTGAGGCATTCTCTTTAGACAGGAGTTCTGGAGTTCATCGCATTCTATGAGGGCAGGCAGTGAGCTATCGCAGTGGCTTTGCTTGAGCCGACAACTGGGAATACTACTACGTCAGGCGTGAAATGGTCTAGTAGTCATAATACTGACTAGGAAGGTGGTACAAAAAGTAGCGAGGGCTCTCTTTACCTGGCAGTAGGCCTTCTCATTTACCCAAATCCAAAGGCGAAGGGGAAGGTTGACAACTGCCCTTCTGAACTGTCGAGAACTTTCATTACATCACTCACTTTTCTCCCCTATAATTTCATGTGTTTTTATTTTTGTAACAAAACGATGGTTCGACTACCCAGATTGGGAAAGTTTATCAAACCACTCGTCATACACTATTAATTCGTTACACACCGTGGCAGTTCACTACCTTCCGGAACAGGGGGTTACTTCACGGGCCCAACACCTTAGAGCTTCTGACTTCGGAATGAGCGGAGATCCTGACAGGATATACAGTTCCTCGCCATAGGTGCAAGAGGCCAAGGAATTATTGCCAGCCTGCAAGTCTGGATCTACCTGGCGCCGAGACGCAGCAGATTGCCGGCAAGACTAATCACCGCCAACGCAAGACTATAGGGTGGAAGAAGACTGAAGGATATCATCTTGCGTCATTCCCAACAGATGCTGCTCTGCCCCAAATGCCCTTTCAAGATATGATTGCCTCATTCTGGCCAAACACATAATTGGCTCCACATGCATGGCAGTTTAATGCACTTCGACACCAAGTTCAACATGCAGAATTATATAAAGACGATGAAGAAGACACAGAATACTTTGCCAAGTCTTTCTTCATCGCAATGATCAATGCATACAAGACGAAAACGTGGGACACCTGCAAAAGGTATCGGCATTGCGGACAAAGCCGTCGGTCAGGAAATAATCCTGCGGGTCCCCGGGCTAGTTGTTAACAGCACGGTATCTATGAAGGAGGATATTACCTGCCTTAGGACCTTCGGCTGGTAGCCAAACCTGTCAGAGGCACCAGCAGAAACGATTCTATCAACGCTGCATACCACTGAGGCCTCTGATGTGGCGGAACCCACTGGCAAGGAAGGTCACAGCACCGTTCCAAAAAGAGTGTGGAATGGGGAAAACCATAACGTCCGTCTTGCACTCTTGAAGGGCGTCAGAAACCGGAAGAAGATCAAAGACGACGATATTACCGCACATTATTCACCATGAGCGATCATGATGTTGGCTTCTATGCTTTCAGACGCAGGCCGTGTTCGCGGTCATATCATACCCGAGTCCGCCCACGGAGACAAGCCCGAGCACGCCAGCAATGCCCAATCCAACGACGACGGGAACTCGCAAGCCGAGGATGGTCCTCAGGCTCCGCCCATAGACCCGCATGACAACATCGCAACCAAGCGAGCGCGGGCGCGTCCCATCCAGGTGTAGTCGCGGGCAGACACTCCACGCTCTCGCCCGCTGGAGATTCACCTGTACAAGGCACAAGTCTTTTGTCAGTCAGCCAAGACCCCGGCGAAGAAGCCATTGAAGCGCACAATCGACAGCCAGAAGGAGTTGAAGAAGCTGATGGCAAGACTGAAGAGAAGAAGAATCGCAACTGAGCAAAATGTCATCTTAAAATTGTTATTGAATCACAACAGCCACATGATTAGAAAGTCGCCCACAGCGGAGATGAAGGAGAGCCCGTGGACGAGGATGGGAGATTGATTGCATGGACTACTGCGAAGACTTCTACGAATCTAGGGACGACCTCAAGGCGACGACTTGTGAGGCTGGGCGACCGAGACGACATACTTCGACTTTCAATGCGAGGAAGACTCCTTTGGCCTGATTGTTGGGGAAAGCTAAGCGACACAATCCAAAATTCAACTGAAAAGTAGATCTGAAATTCCAGATTTCCCAACCTCAGATTAGTAAGGCCGACGAACATAGAAATAGAAAGATTCTGTCGGCCTAGAGACAAGAGAACGACACTCAAATGAAGACAACGGCGAGGTGCCTGCTTCGGACAGCAAGTGGTCACCCGAGAGAGAGAGAGAGAGAGAGAGAGAGAGAGAGAGAGAGAGAGAGCACAAGGCTGCCCCGGTCCCCAGATCCGGTACGTATTCACGACATCACCAAAGCATCTTTGAATATGCGAGCGACATTAGCCTCTTTCCTTGGGGCGAAGGCTGCAATCAGAATTTTCACCTGGAGACTGCACCTTCCATTCTCTTTCCCCTTTCTCCAACCACCGACCCGTCTTTTTCCATTTTTTCCCTCAATCGTACCTCTCTCACATTCTTTCCCAAGTCAACTCATTCACTCGGATTCCTTCACCAGCACAATAACTGAACACCCTCTTCACCGATCCATCAAGTAAGTCACACACCTGCATTGCATATGTAGATAAATCTACTATTATATGATACCGCCAACTGATGCATTGACTATCTAGGAGGAAGCACGAAGGGTCAGACCCCGTCAACGAGAGTGACAATGTCAACACCAGTCTCGCCGACACCGATATCCCCAATGCCAGCGACAACGCGAACCTTCCTGCTCCCACTTCCATGGGCTTGGCAAGCCAGAATGTCAACACCTCTCCCGACGCTGTACATGAACAGCCTACTACTACCACAACGCAAGATGCCGCTTCAGCTAGCGGTGAGCACCGAAAGCTCCATGGCGACGGACGTTCCGCATCAGCCACTCGCGCCAAGAAGCCAGCTGTAGCAGCAGCAGCAGCTCCATTCGGCGACCGGCTGCGAGACCGTTTTTCTGGCCGACTCGTTCGGGTACCCCAATACCCGCCGGGCTACTGGACCCATGGCTGGTACGTCTGTGAGGTTCCAGGATGTGGCCGTCGGTTCACGCTCATGAGCTCGCGCGCTCAAGTAAGTCATCTCATTACACACTGTTCATCGATCATATCCTTACTTAATACTAATTTCACTAAAGCACTACAAATATTATCACCCCGTTACGAACTGAGTCCCGGTGCGATACGTCCGTGAAAGTTGAGCACTCTTGAAAGTCAAAGGAAGGACTTGGGAGTCAGCCGTCTGGGAAGCAACGGACTCGGCATGGAATGCGGACGCAAGAGCCGGAGATACCTTGCTTGAATTGCAAGGAGCTGCTGAAAAGAGCTCTGCCCAGCAAGGGGATCTCTTTATGGGGGCTGCCCAGCAAGGGCATCTCATGTGGTGGTGGTGGCGGTGATGATGGTGATGACGGCGATGGTCGGACAATAGTCTCATACTTAGGAATGTCCCTGTCTTGAACCCTGAGTCCTTTGATACTACCTTACCCCAAGCCTTTCATTGTTCTCTGCTTCACAGCGACAACACCTTCCTTATTCATGAAAAATGAGCGGAGGATAACTCCGCCGCTGTGATAGGTTTATTTCCTTCATGTTTTCGAACTTTGATACAGCTTTGTGTTCCAATTGTCTGGGCAAGAAGTCTGAGGATATGTCATATGGTGGACTGTCTTCCTTCGATAGTCGGTCTGACACATTTTTATTGACCTCTTTCTTGGCCATTTGGGCCAAGCTCTTCCTTGCGCCTTCATTAAAATCACAAACTCACCGACAGTGGCTGGACATCTGAAGCGGCCTGTACCTGCCCGTCTCAACTTTCGCTTCTACCTGGCCTGCACCTGCCACTTTTTACATACCCAGGTAGCAATCTTGGCCCCCAACGTGGTACCAGTCCAGGTTGACTTCTTCATCCTTCTCTACTTCTTTTCTTTTTCCATTTTCACGTTTCATTCTTTGTTTCTTCGTATTGGTGAAACGGTGAAGTTGTTGCCGATTTTATACTACCTAATTGTATTTTCCATCCCTTCCCCCAGCGAGGCATGCCAGCAAAATCAAACTTCGGTAAGCTCCCTCGATTCATGTTTTCGTCTGGCCCTCCAACAATAGAAGGATTCCATCTGGAAACATTGAGTGTTAACATTTTTCAACTTCGCAGGACCCAATTCAAAGTGCTTCACGACTGCTCCAGGTACTCTAGAACATATGTCGCCGCCCAGATGCGACTGCATCAAATACCTTTTCGCCGATACGCTGCCCAGTGTCCCCTTACCCCGCAACACAAGTTGCGGGGTTCTTTCCCGACTGGGTCATCTACACGAACGATGCTTTTTGCGGAAGTCCTCAAGAACCTTAGTCATACTTCCCCCTCCATCATTGCCACTTCATTGCTCTTGTCACCATACAAATTAGCAATCATGGAGGGGGCAAATGCTCCCCACGACGAGACTGGGGGTGCTGAGAACCATACAATTGAGCTGCAGGTGCTGCTGCAAAGAGCTGGTTAAGGTAACGGATCCTTCTACGACGATTAAGATTTCAGAGGATCTCAGCCCGCTAACAGTTCGGAGGGAGCGTATAGGTGTAGCATCTTGTGGCAATCTCAATAATCACGGGAAGACAACAGTAGAGTCTGAGCTTTAGCAGGCTGATGTTCTTGTCATCAAGTATCAACAACAGCATGATGGCTTGTGATGATCACTAGAGCGTCGCTTGATTCGCCAAGACTACCAACACTTCTTTCTGATTTGGCAGCCGCAGCTGCTCCTGCTCGGCCCAGCCCGGTGCTGATGCTCCTGAATAAAGAGACTGTTCCCCGGAGTCCTACGCATGAATGCCAGACACAGACTCAGTTGGACGTCAAGGACCACCCTTGAGTGGGTACCTGTGCGTCAAATCTGTCAGGGACAGCAAAGTAACAGACAGGGCAAATTGGGAAAGCAGGTTATGCAACGGGACCAGATGGTAAGCGCTTGTAATACCACCTGCTCAGTCACGAGTCACGAGGAGATCAGCTAACACGCTAGGTCATTAGGAGGTGGCTATGACCTTAGTTATATCTTTTGGAGGCATCAGCAACCATTCCGCCGTCCTAGAGTGCAAATGGTTGCACCATTATTTGATTGCTTTTGCGACGGCAATTATGATTTCCCCAGAGCTCCTCGAACGCTTGAGCGTCAACTCACTCCCGCAACCCTCAAAGAGCAGAATACCGCAAAACTCGCCCCCCACGCGCTCGTCATGCGTTGAATGACGCCTTCGGTGGGATATTTTTGGCATCAAACTCGTTCAACCTGCTAGATGCGGCTCCTCTTCTTGGTGAGACCGTTCATTCGAATGAAGGGGTTCAATCCTACACATTATCTCTCATGATTACGATAGCTTCACTCATCAACATGACGATTATCCAAAGACAGATTTCGACTTTCGGGTCGAGAACACTGCGCAACCTTTGCAGACCATGGGCCAAACCAGATCTCTTGGATACTCGAAAGTATGAGGATTGCTCGGCTTTCAAGTTAGCTGAAACAAGCTGTCCAGAAGACAACCATTCAGTTATGTTTTGTTTCCCTTTCTTCCTCTTTTAGATGATCCAAATTCGGTTGAAAGAAAAGTCGCAACTTTCAAAGAAACTACATCATTGTTCTGGCCCACTTTTGCCGATGCTCAAAGCTGTCAACGCGTCACCCTCTCCCCCTACTCTCAGTCAAGTGGTGATAAATTGCTCGCGGCTCAACAGTACATGTAGATCAATCTCAACTTCGCTCTCCAGTCTTCATTTCCCTACTTCAAGCAACGTCAATGGAAGCTTTCATTTTACATAGCCCCTCAACGAGCAGCCGTCCATAAGAATACGTGTTTGCAGTTTCACGAGTATTGAACGACCAAGCTATCCCTGGCAGGCTCACTCAACTCCAACTTCATCGCTCTCTGCCGCACAAAATTCGGTCGCCGTTTTCATTATCTGACAGCTTCTCCTCAGGTAACATTTTGCATCCGACCTCCTACTCTTTACATTTCTTCTGACCTGTCGCCATTATGTCTTTCTCTTTCCGTCACTACCTCGCCGCTGGCATCCGTGGCATGCGCGTCGCCACCGGCACATCATACGAGGATGTTTTTGATCAACTCTTCCAAGCTCTCAACGTTCTCCGTCGTGAAGCCGCCCAAAGTGGTGATATTCGGCCTTACTCTGAAGAATATTTCCCAGACGACATCTATGACCCGCCAAGTCCCGAGTATATCAACCTCACCGGCGTCCCTAGACATGTCTCTTCCACCTCTGGCCCAGCTCAGCCAGGACACCAGTTCAATATCCCCATTCGCCTCAGTGAATATCCCCAGCCCACTGCATTTGTTCAGCCCACCGTTTACCCTACCGATCCCAACGCCCCTGTTCCAGCTGTTCATAACCCCCCACCCGAGCCCGTCTACAACCCACACACGGAAATGCCGAGGAGGAAAGGCGACGAGGGAGACAGGCTCTGGCCCTGCGAATACGACGGCTGCGATGCCTCGTACACCCGCCGCAAAACGTTCCTTGATGTAAGTCTAATTCTTCCCTTATTCCTTCTTTGAGCTGAAATGCTGACTTGAATTCACAATAGCACATGGTGGCTAAGCATGGGTACCCAGCACCGCCCAAGAGACCATCCCGGCCCAGAAATCCAGCCAACGCTACCGCTTCTAGTAGCGGACAGGCACAGGCTGGTCCTTCCGGATCCGCTCCTCAGCATGAGGAGGACGTCAACATGGAGGACTAGTTTTTGCAACTTCAGGCTTTATACTATTTGTATAAGCTTATTCGCTTTTCTGTCATTGAGGCTGAATATTTGTTTGAACTTGAGGTGCAATTTGGGAGCTCCACTGCAAAAAGCATTGTGTGGTATTGCTTGCAGACGTTTTGCTGAGACGGAATTCGGCTTATAGCCTTACGCATCCAAACTTGTTCTTGGATCTTCATGCAAATCATAATAACCTTTTTGCCTTGTTCTGGTGATAGTATAGCCCTTAAATAAGCTCATACTCAATTCGTCCATCGAAGTCGGGCCCGTAAAGTTGGCCTCCGACTGGAACACCTATAAGGCCCACCGGTAACTATCAAAGCTTCTGCGGGCCTGTGCAAAGGTGATCCAGCCATCTTCTATACCCTTTTTGCACGAGACCTGGACCGGATACTTACCAGGCCCTGATAGAGGAAACCTACCGGCTACTCTCCTGGACTCTTGCTACAATCAGTATGATTTTCAGAAACACCGTTATAGTAGGCTAAACAATAGCGGTTTATAAGTCTAAGTTGTAGCAGAAGGACCATGGAGATTGGAACACCGATGTTATCTTTGTGGACGAAGCTGGTCGGCTTCCCGAGTCTCAGTTCTGGATTTGCATTGCCTTCAATGAGCCTCAATGGGTTATCACGACTAGAAATAGGCAGATAATTTGCATCTTTGAGCTATACAGAGTCTTGCCAGCCCACTCGGCGGTCGCGTCAAATGACGATGACTGTGGCTAGTGAATCTTTTGCAGACAATGAACATACCACTCACCGTCTCGTCAAGTTTATAACTTTTCATTCGCCATAGTGGACCTGGCTCGGTCACAGTCTTGTACCACAGTCGAATAGATTATACCTTCATGTTCCCTTAGTCTCTGACTTGTTTTCTCGAGTAGACTACCTCCTAACCTAGGCTGGTTTTCGCCTGATTCAGGCATTCATGCGTAACAGTGCTGGTCTGAGAGCGATGGTGTACGCATTACTTTTTGCATAAGTCGAGCCCTGAACTGCCGCTTAAGAGTGGCTGGGGAAGTTTTCAGGCTACTCAAAGGATGAAAGAGAGATTTTACAAAGCGATCCACTCTCAGCAGTCCACTGGCCAAAGAGTAGGGACTAAAACCGAGACAGCCTCGTGAAAGACAGCTCAGATTGACACAAACTACCTTCTGCTACTCGCCTTATTGTCCTATTCCTGAAACAAGGTTTATGAGCTGGCCCCATAAAGAATCCTTAGACAGCACTTTTTCTCCTAAGGCTCTGTTTTAACTTCACAATGATATTGTCTTCACTTTCTCTGGCGAGATGTTAACAAAGACGAATTCTTCACTCGCGGATATTGAGCATTAAAGACTAAAGCCAGCCCAAGAAGTACGAGGATCAGTGCTCACAACCACATTCACCAAATCATTAAGAACCACTCTAGAACCAATCAATCATGACGTTTGCTATCGAGAATGCCTTCGCTCTCGCGATCTTAGGAGAGCACAATCCAGAAACTTCAACTACCAAGGACCTTATCTTGAGAACAGACTTGGCCTTTTGGAGGGTCAGCAGCCGTCTCCTTGAGGGCAATACGAGCCTTCCTAGCGCTGACGCTGACACTTTCGAGGGAGTCTTTACTATTTCTATGCTCGGTAAACGTGCCACCTCCGGCCTCGATTGGAGCACTCTGGTTGCGACAGTCTTGGAAGTCTATCTCAGCATCCGCGAACGCCTAATCCATGGCGAGTGCATCCTTCCCTCTCCTCAAAGCACCATGAGAGCCAGCAGACTCGATCCATCTGTTACCATCCTGTTTGGTACTAGACCAACATTTCCTGCTGCTGAATCAGACGTCGGCGAGTTCCCAGATAATATCCTCAACAGTGAGTATGAAGAGTATGACGAAGACGATCGTGAGGCTGGCTTACCTAACTCCGGTCCCATCAAGAAAGGCAAAAGGGCACGAGAGGAGAACGACTCCTCACCTTCCACCAAGACGAAGAGAGCAAGAAAAGATAAAGGAAAAGGGGTGTAGTTTAGCGGTGTTTTAGCGAAATTGGGGAGGATGGTTACTTCTATCTACTTTAAGTCGTGTGTTCTAAATCGATCTCTTTCTTCAAGATGTTGCTATCTAGTTTATGTGTAGATTGACACACATCGAGTGTGCTGAAGTTGAAGCCTCCCTTCTCCCTACCACCACTTCCCTACCTTCAGATTAAGCGGCAGTCAAAAGTTCGCAGGCCGATATAACCCCTACTTCTCGGCTCTACCCATTCTATTCATCATCAGCATCCCCGAGCTTCTGATTCTCCCCTCTTGTCCTACCTGAAGTTGCTGGCAAGGCCACTGCACCTACCAGATGCCAGTATACGATCAATTTCTGATCCATCTTTCTTACACTCTTTTCTGCTGAGAGTCGCGATCCCAAAACTACCTTTTAGAGGTAATTCTTGATTCTGATAAGGAACGAAGAAAGCCGCTGGGTAAGTATACCCATGTCTCTTACATGCTAGAACGTCAGTCCCGGGCCCTCCTACAGTGCGGTCTGGCAGTGGAATCAATCCGTGCCCAAGGCATATTGGCCCATCAAAGATGACAGCATGGACGTGATTACCAACTGAGGTGTGGGGAGAACCTTGGCTGGTTCGTCGACGAATACATCAATCGCCAGAATCCCGCTGTAAGTAATTTCTTGGCCCTGTTGCTCCTGCATTAGACCATAGCTAACACCTTTTTCTTCTGGTCTGGCCTTCAGATCGTGCGTGCGGCACACCATTTCCACAGAGCCTACGATGCTGGTTCAAGATGTGGGATTTATATTAGCAGCGGGCACAAACGGTCATAACTACTTCCGCCGGATCGGATCTAGCAAGGTTGATCACTTCTAGCATTGGAACCTCTGCGATGCAAATTAGGAGTTATATTACACCTAAAAGAAGTCGAAAAGCCTTGGAAAGTTTGCAAAGGGCTGCGCGCGAAAGAACAGATAGTCAATCGCATAGGCATCTGTCTCTTCCTCAGTACGCCAGCATCCTCCTCGTATCATTCGTTACTTTGTGGTAGGCGGAGAGCAGAATCTCGTCTCCTCTATCAGCCAGAACTGAGAGGTGGCGAGCTGCATCGGACCAGCCACACAATGGCTGAGTTGGTCATCTGAAGTTCGCGAATAACCACAAATCTTTTGGTTTATTCCACAACATCGACTTCACCTGTGGCTCGCTCCTTCCTTCTTTTTTAATGGTCGGGCGGTGTGACCTTGCTCCCTTCTACTTATAGAAACCCTACTTCACGGGTCCGGCAGTCAACCTACCTTTTTCCCACATCCATCCATCTACCTGCTGGCTGCCGTTCCTGCTTACACAACAAAATAAATCGAACGCGTACGTTTCCTCATCCCCTTTTCCTTCGATTTACTGGCGTCTTTCATCTAAGCTAATAAGTCATACCAGAATAATGTCATTCCAGCTCGAGACCAATCTGGCACGCGCGATTCACATGCAGCAAGTCGCTACCGGAGCAACTCACGATAGTATTCGTGATACCACTGTGGCCGCACTGCGACTTATCCAGCAGCGATTCGAGCGTGGGGACTATGAGCTTCCCAGAGCAACGAGAAACTTCGAGCGACAGCTCACCCTGGCAATTCTCATGGAACAAGAGACCAGAAACCTCGGCCTCAATGCGCTGATTATACGTACAACGACAGCTTGGGGTCGCATCTCTGGTCGCCTTGAGCGAGGCCTCACCCCCTTTCCCGAGCCTTACCATGTCATTGCCGACGACGGAGATGATGATGTCCCAATTGAAGAGCGTCTTCGCAGAATGGGACTCGATCCCAACAGCTTCGACCTTACCGGCATCCGCTCTGGTGCCCCGCACAGCTCTAACAACAGCAACAACGTTGCCCCGACTCAGCCTCAGACTGACATGAGTTCCACCATTGGTACAGGAGGATTCATCTCCAGTCAAGCTGCTGTCCTTGCTCCCGCTTTTGCTGCTTCTGCCCCCGCAATCGTCCAAACAGGCAAAGCTGCTGTGACTGGGAAGCGCCGGGACCGAAAGCGCGGCAAAGATATGTACGGGTGCGATGTCTGCAATCAGGAGAAGAAGTACACCTCTGCATGCACTCTCTACAGAGTAAGATCATCCAAGCCACAACCACAATCTACCTTAGAGGAGAAGCTGACATGAACGGAACAGCACAAGAAGAGTAAGCACGGCATTCCCACACCCGGAGACGTCCGAAAGGAGAGGAAGCTGGCTGCAGAGGCGGCTCTTGCAGCTCAGGATGATGCTGAACAGGCGGATGGTGTCGGAGAGGATGAAGACGCAGAGGCGGATGAGGAGATTGATGAGACTATGAACGAGGATACCGGATACGAGAGGGACTTGGAGTGATTCCATGCATACAATTCTGAAGAGAACCAACACGAGACATGATCTATCAATGCAAAGGCCCGAGTGATACTGAATGAGAACTGATTGATGCTCCTTGATCTCGCTTTGACTAATGACCTTTCTTCCATATGTCAGAGTCGTCCACATAGTGTCTTTTGACTGAGCGGGCGGGTTCATATGTCATAGGCTCCTTCCTCGACCTATCCACCAAGTCACTCGAGGGTGGTGCCTCAGACAGCACCACCCGGGAAAGGCAGTTATCAAGGACAGGACCCCTTCCTTTTCACAAAAGGTCCAGCTAACAAGAATCCGCAGAAAAAATCTCTCTCAATCGAAGAATTTTCAACTCTCAAAGCTAAACCACTATACCGGGTCAACAAAGCAAGAACAATGGACGACAAAGGCCCATTCCCGTGGCCCAACCCTCACTCGCAAATGTCCTTCTCCGGCAGTGAGAGCGATCCTACGATGGCAGCTTCCAGAGCCCCCTCGGAGATGGGCACATCTTCGACTCTGCCTATGGATATCGACACTCAACAGTCTCACGTCCCGCGCCGAACCATCTCTTGCCGTCACTTCTACTTCCCTACGCCACAAGAAGAGCACGAAGCAGAGCACCACAAGCAACCTGAAGACACCGCCAAGGAAGTTGCGACCTACATCGTTGAGAACATCGCTCCCGAGAAACGCACCGACGCCGTCAAGAATGTCGCCCGAGCCCTCGCTCTCCGCCGTCTCAAGGAGCAAGCCCAGCTGCAGAACCAGCGCGAGAAGGAGAAGCAGGCCGAAGAAGACGACCAGATGACAATCTCCAAGTCAGCTTACAGACTTCATACGGCGCGAATCAAGGCGGCACAGCAACTTTCCGCAAGCTGGATGAAGGATACGGAGGACTCGCTGGAGGGGGAGTCGATTCAGGCCCGTATCATTGACATGGCTTTGGAGGAGATGCATGATACGGCGATGGCACTTGAGAAGGGCAAAGGCCCGGCTTTGTAGTGCAGAGGAGGAACGACCATGGAGTATCTCGGATACGAGTGAGTGAGCGAGTGAGCAGGCGAAACAGTGTGGATTGCGAGCATCTCGTAATTGGCAGCTTTCTCCTACATTAGTCTTCAGTTCCCCGACTCGTTGGGTAGTATTATCCAGCTTTTCCCACAAGACACAAACTTTTCCTTCATTGCTTAGTTGCCACGATGAGCCTTCACTGGTCAGCTTTGAAACCTGCAAGTCGTGGCTTACATCGGGACCCCATTGAGTGACCGCTCACAGTCACACGTCTCACTGCCGGAATAGAGGTGTCAAAATCTCATGTTCGTGAGGCATCACGATCCGGAATTTTTGGTTTCAGGCAGCCGCAGACGAGCTCGGAAAACCAAAGGCAGAACAAGCGTACCTTCTATAGTGGCCTTCTTCATCTTCCATCGGAAGGAGCGATGGAGAGACCTGGCCCTCCCCCCAGATGCCTCAGATATCTCACATTTGTATGTCACATGACCCACTGTCAACTCACCTTCGCCATCCTTCACCTTCCACCTCACTCAACGATCTCACCGTCTTACTGAATGCTCATCAAAGACCATAGACCATTGTCTAGTTTTGCCTGGTCTTGCTGTCTTTTCAAAGGTCGTTTTGCCGCGCTTTTCTTACCAAAGGCTTTTTGTCCTTTCCCGCCCTAAAATTCTCATTAACTGCTCCTTCTTGCCCCTTCGACACTTCACACAACTACGGCTTTCCGCGCTTCTTCTCAGATTGCTTGACGAGACAGGTATCAATTCTTCATTATTCCTCTGCGATCACTATCAAATCCCTTTGTTTCTAACATCAAGTCTCTCTGACAGCTTTGCTTTGTTACCATCCTTTTGGGGACACAAATCTCACAATACCCAGGCAACGTCATCGCACCGCGAGACTCACTCTCCAGCAGAGCTTTACTACAACACGGATAAGTTGGCCTTCTCATCGCAGCGAAGTACCAACGAATTGCCCGAGATGACGAAACTACAAGCCATTTCGATTCCTTCCTCTCCCGAGGACGAAGCCGCGGTCGTTCCGTCGTCTCACAAGTTGAGCGCGAGATATGCGGCCGAGAACTCTCCTTCCGTCGAGAGAAAAAAGAGAAAGAGGTCGAAGAGAAGAAATCAGACCCCAGATTCCCCGACTCCATCTAAGAAAACGAAACTCAAGATTCACCCATCGGGCAGCAAATACCGAAAGCAGGACAGCCCGAAGCCGATGACTCCCTCGCCGCTCGCCTCCTTCCCTCGACCTCACAATCCAAATCACCCGTTCATGAAGATCTCGACAATTCGACCTGAGCGTCAGGCTGCTGAGGCCAAAGTTTAGGAGCCCTCGAAGTCTCCCATACAGGACAATGAAGACGGAGAGCCGGTTGCGACCATCGAGACTGATGACATTGTCGAGACTGGTGCCACCGTCGATGCTGGTAGCACCGACTCGGATGACATGCCTATGGCCATCAGGTCGCGTAGAAGAAACCCATTCGCCGACCAGACCTACGAAGCCCCCGAGCAGCTCATCGAAGACAGAGCCAGTCCCGACCTCGGCACACAGCCTATCCAGAAACTCGAACCTTCCAGCTATGTGCCTGGAAAAGAGACACTCGGGGATGATGATAACTGCTACATCTCCAAGGCCGCCTTCAACCTCCTCACAGATCGCCATATGACCCTACAGCACATGGTCAAGACATTCATCGACTCAGTGAACGACCTAGAGACCACAAGCAAGGGCGACAGGGACATCCGCGACGGAATTCTCGCCGAGGCCAAGTCTCTCCAGATGGGCATCAAGGCAGTCTCCAATGCTGTATTCGAGCTCCCGTATGCCAATCGGACTGGCGCCGCCACCCGAGCAGCTGCGGGCAAGACCCTCGCAGCCATCGAGAAGTTCAACGAGAAGAAGAGGATTCTTGCTGAAGGCAAGGCTGCTACCGCGGCGCAGCAGGCTGAGATAGAGGAGGCGAGAATTGCAGAGGCAGTGAGCAACGATGACTCTAGCGTACAACGTAACCTGGGGGATGAGGAGGAAGTGGACATTTCTCAGGAGCAGGCAGCTGGCACTGACGGGGAACCGATGGATGAGTCGGAGTGAATGGGCTAGCGACCACAAAGCTTGAGATTTCGGGCACATTGCTGCGCGGATATCTTCAAGTGATACATGGCATACGAGGTTGATCGAGATGGCCTGGTTCTGGAGCGACCATTCCCGAAAAGTTGATCAAGCGTAGCGGGTCGTAATATCCAGGATATGAGATTCAGGATGTGTACTCTAGCCAGGAATATGACTTTGACAATTACGAAACTCCTGCTTCCATAGTAACAGTGACGATCCTCGTCCGGCAGGCAATCTATAGGCAAAAGTCTCTTACAAGTGACAATCCCAACTCTGTCCCCCAAGGCGCCCTCAACGCAGGATCTCCATGTCAATCACGTCGAAGGCGTGAGAGAGCCAAACACCTGTGACGGAAATTCACTTCAACCACTATTAACCATGACCACAGAATCTTCAATCGCCCTCTTTAGTTTATCCCTCGGGAACCCCGGGCCTTTCATGAGACACACCGCACACCTCGACAAATTAGCAATCAGCAGCGTAATATTCAGCTGCACCGTAAACGCCTTCTTCGACCTCCTTTGCAATGTCTGCGGGAAACAATCCACAAAACTCCAACTCTCCGATGCCAAACCTCGTTTCTTTCCCGCGTCCGAGGCCAACTTCAACGGCCCACTCAACCTCAACTCCAACGTCTCCTTATCCACGACCCGAGCACCGAGGGCAATAAGCTGCCTCTCGACACCAGCGACGCTCAGAAACCGCGTCTGCCGGGCATCCGCTAGCGCCGTCTTCTCAAAGAGATCAAGGTTTTCCGGCGAGAGGTCCTCGGAGCTGAATTCGTCACCGTACCAGCGCCCGCCCATGGGTAGTTCTGCAGCTTGTTGGAGCTCGTGCTGGCCAGGTCCGACAAGCCACCTCATTTTTGTGATGATGTCTTCTCTATTACGGTATCTGAGTGTTGAGCTGAAGATGCGCTGTTCTTCTCCATGAGGGAGGGGTGAGTCGAGGGATTTGCTGAGGACGAGGTAGCCTAGCGTGAAGCAGGTGTGTGTGAGGCGGAAGCTGAAAGAGTCCGGGCTAAGGATCGTTGTTGAGCCGCAGTGGAAGGTTCCTAGGGATGGGGGTAGTGAGGTTGGGCGGCAAGCTAAGGATGTCAGATGGGAGAGGATTTGGTCGTCTGGTGTCAAGGTCAGAGAATCTGGTGCTAGGGTGTTTGCCTGCGGAGGCGACGCCGCATGAGATGTGTTATCTCTAGCACAGGAATTCTCCTCTTCTATGCCCGTACCAGCATGGTCTTTGGGGTCGGGAATTTGTGACGGAGTCCGCTTCGCTTCTCTAAGCTTCCTCTTCCTCCTCTTGGGAAGCTCATTCTCCAACGCCACAGCATCGTCAGCCAAAGCCAACACGTGCGCCACCATCTCCTGGATACGCGTCAAGACCCCTACTTCCTGCTTCAGCGCCTCAATATCCAGCATCCAATCAACAAGCTCGACGACCGCGGAGCTCATCTTGGCGACGGTAGTTTCTAGATGCTGCAGACGGGTTGCCTGGATCTCTTCCGCGGCTTGTTTGCGTTTGCGAAAGACTTTTTGGGCCTCGCGGTTGCGCTCTCGGCGGGTCTAAGTTGGACTTCTTATGAGCTACCTAGACGGTACGTGTGACACAATCATATCCGAATAATGGGTGCTTGCAACCTACCTGAAGTGCATGGTCGGGAGAAGGCGACCGCGAAACGTGATCGCTCGATTGCTCGCTTGGCAGTGGTTCGGGAGACGTGGGTATGGCGCCAATGTTGGACTGAGCGAAAATTCTCGTTTAATGTTGGGAATGAGTGAAAATGATGTAATTGGGACCGCCTTATCGATGTTTGAAAGTCTTGCATGAGAGAAATGAATCTGATAGCATGAACTCGAGGTTTTTGGAGTGAGTGCTCAAGTGAGATGGCAAAAAGGGATCCACGCAAGTCTCTCCGACTCCTTCGGCAGCGGCTTTATGACATAAAACTTCCCGACGCCTGTCAGATTTTAGTCTAGCCGTAAGCCACAATAGTGTCTCGGAAGTTGCACTAGTTTGGTCCAACCACCTTTCCACGGCGCTAGGACTCTGGGAGTTCGACGAGACAACTGTATGGAAATAGCTATGTGAGCCTCATTTGCTGCATATGCAGATCCCTCAAGATCCTTATTTCGGATAGCTTACCTCGGTGCCTCGGCTGACCTATCGAATCCAAAGTAGCGATGTTGAGCCGTTGTACGAGCTTCTTCCTGCCCGGCGTCTTAACGGACATCTCCAAGACCGACATCCTCTTTGACTGAGTGCTCAGACTAGGAACATTTTCGGCCGGTAACTCAACCAAGAAATCCGCAAGCTGCTTTGATGGTCTCACGTAAACTTGCTCGCGCGCACTGATGTTGAAGATTCGAACGGCGTGGGATGTCGACGGAGGATGTTGAGTGAAACAGGTTATAAGAGGAGACGATGAAGACGAGGATTGGAGGCCTATCGAATTTGAATCATCCAGAACTTTCACCCAACATCATTCCGAGAAACAGTGAAAACTTCGAATTTCCATCATGGTTACCTCGGGAGACGAATACAAGGGTATTTCTTCACAAGGCATGGCTGCCTATGCTGCTCCTTCGCTTTTCCAGCCTCACAAAGCCCGCCAAGCCATCCGAGACGCCCACGCAAAGAAGATTCCGCCACTGCTTTGTTACTACGCAGGGTTGAGCTCGATCCCCATTACCCGGTACTTGGCCCCTATGGGCTTCGATGCCGTTTGGATTGATTGGGAGCATACCCCATGCAACACGGAAACCATGACGACGGTACTCAACGAATCACTGGGTAAACCTGAAAGAGTGTTCTGACGCCGCGTAGATGGTTCACGAGGCTTCATTCATGAGCCAAGGCCGTACCATTCCGTTCGTTCGGTACGTCTGTCCTACGTCTTCTCAGGCTTTCATGCTGATATGATTGCGCAGCCTCCCTGGCCACGATCACGCCGCCATTGGGTATGCTCTCGATGCCGGCGCCAGCATCGTCATCCCCCAAATCGAGACAGTTGAACAAGCAAAACATGCTATTGGCGCCGCCAAGTTCGGCACTGCGCAGAACGGCACACGATCCCTGCCGCCTTTCCGTCTTGTGCCCGGTCTGACCGATACTCCGTATGACCACCGCGACCTGCACAAGTGTCTCAATGATCAGGCCGCCATTATGATTCAGATCGAGTCAGCCCAAGCTGTCAAGAACCTCGATGAGATTCTGACGGCGTGCGGTTCAGATATCGACATTGTCTGGTTTGGCACTCTTGATGCCCGAGTCAGCATGAACCTCGAGGCCAAGATGGGAGGGATTGGGGCTTCTGAACCTGAATGGGTCAAGGTGTCGAAGCTATTCTTTGATACCATTGATAAGCACAATAAACCTTATGCTGGCTTTGCATTTGGTGGGCCTCCGTATGGAAGTCCAGAGGTCCTGAAAAAGGCTGCGGAGCGGATGAGTTTGATCATGGTCTCGGCCGACGTGGTTCACTTGGGTGGCATGGTGCAGGACTTGCGACAGGCGAGGGAACTGACTGGAACGACGAGATAGTTTCATCTTGCAAGAGAGACTCTAGCAGGGGTCGCATAGAGTTGCAATGCTTGCCGACATGAGAGGATATGCTTAGAATGAAGAGAATCAGTTTTGAATAATCGAACACGGTGGTATTAATGCATGCGCTAGTCCTGCTGCTGTTTTATGCCTCATTTTCATCATATGCTGAGCTCAGCTCCTTCAACCCAATATTCACTGTCTAACAGTTTGCAACGACATCTTGACCAGCCTTGACAGACTTATCAAGTCCCGCTTGCGCATCGGCTACGGCTTGGTCGCTCCTTTACAGGTTGTTAGCCATTGCAATCCTCGAATTTCACAAAATACAAGAATACGTACGCATCACCCCCAGAAAGAGCGGTACCCGCTGCAGCCAGTCCAGCTGCTACCTCATCACGGCTAGCCGCGGGCGGTGCAGCACCGCTGACGATGGACTTTGCAATTTGCGCGATGCCGCCTCGTGCTTGTTGGAGACCAGCGTTGGCAGCGTCCTGGACTGTTGTGTCGGTGATTTGGGAAACAGCGTCTTCGGTGTTGCCGAGGGCGCCTAGGATCTGAAGTCTGGCGACGTTGCACGAGAGGCTGCCGAGGTTTCCAAGCAGTTGGCGTCTTTCGATGCTTCCTAAGCGCAGTCGACTGGTTAGACAGAAGATTGGATAGCTGTGGGGTTGAGAAGATGATACTTACTTGCGCTAGCGAGAGTGGCGCTGGTGGCCATCAGGAAAGTAACGAGAACTTGTTGGGCGTACATTTTGTGTGGATTGCGGTGAATCAAATGGGTATCTTGAGGATAATTGTAAAAGGAAAATGGGCGCAAAGACTTTAAATAAGCTCAAATAAAGATGACACCAGGTCTAAAGAAGAAAAGTTGTTGTATCGGATGGCAGTTTCGCTGTTGATGAGTTGAAACTTAGTGACATGAACTGACAGCGACGCGACAGGTGCCATCTTATAGTTGAGCTGACAGAAGCGCTGCATCTGCCATCGTGTGGCCTGAGATGATGCGATGACCGCCTTGGAAGGCCTGAAAAGATGGCTGAGCACCTGTGTTACCTAGGCATGACCGGTTTCGAAGATCGAACGAAGTTTCAAAACATGGGAATGAAGCGACGCTGCGAGCTCCTCGGATGAACCCCTGTTCTCCTTGGCCAGGGTCTCTGGGGTCTCTGGTGGGGATGACAGGGAGAGAGAACTCCAAAATCCCACGGTTGGAAACCATCGCCATTGCAATTCGTCGAGGGGAGTATTTGAACCTCCTTGAAGATCAAACTGCGCGGCGGGGTGATATGCAGCAAGAAGAAAATTGCGATTGGCTGCTCAGCCGCTCGTCAGGGGATATGATCTCCGGATCCGACACTCTTCCATGGGCAGCGAAACTGAATTTCACATCATAAATCTAGATGTTAAGGCCCACGACGTCGCTTCGGTATCCCACGTCTTGTAATAGCATTCGCTTCTTAGCGCGTTTTACCTAGGCTTAAAGAGCACCTCTTAAGCTTAATATTGATCTTTGGGCTCCTGTGGGCACTCGTCATTTGACTCAGGCTTCTGTAACGCTGCTAGAGGTTTAGTCGACAAATTGTCAATGACTCTTGGTCGCACCTCAAAGAGCACAGTTTTGTTGAACAGCGACTCCGGTAGTCTTTTGTAATGAGAGCCAGGCATCTTTCATATTCCCCAATTCTCTCACTGCTGTTGATGAAATGATGCACATAAGATGCTCTCAGTGCTGGGCTGGAGATCTAGCTTAGCTGCAGGGAGCCGGACCAATCATGTTTCTCTCCCAGATAACAAATCATCTTCTTCTCGCATGGGTTGAACTCAGCTGACGATCGGCGCCTCAACCTTGGCATCCTACCTACACCTTTTCAATGCTCGCCTCCGCCAGGCAGCCGATTCGAGATGTGGCTTATTGACACCGATAGCCTCAAACTCGTCGAGGTGCAGGGCGACCCCCAGGAGGAGTACGCGATCTTGTCTCACACCTGGGGCAGCGACGAAGTCACATTCCAAAGCTTCCAAGCGCTTGGCTTGGCCTCGGACACGGCACCCGGTCCGGGGTCGGGCTCCGCGGATGCGGTCGACCAGATCCGCTCCACCAACGGCTTCCGCAAGATACAAGATGCAGCCAACCTGGCCAAGAGCCATCGCCACCGTTACCTCTGGGCCGACACCTGCTGCATCGACAAGACTAGCAGCGCCGAGTTGTCGGAGTCCATCAACTCCATGTACCGGTGGTACGAAAAGGCAGCCATCTGTTACGGGTTCCTCTCCGATGTGGAGCCTGTCTCTGTGCAAAGCCCATTTGCCAAGGATTCGAGTTTCCAGAGCAGTCGATGGTTTACCAGGGGATGGACGTTACAAGAGCTCATTGCACCGAAGACCGTTGAGTTCTACGCTGGGGACTGGTCTTACATCAACACAAAGCAGTCGAGAAATGTCTTTTGCCAATTGCTTGCCAGGATTACCGGCATTGACGAGCAGGTGCTCTCTGGTACGTCGTTCCTTAGCGACATCAGCGTCGCGAACAAGATGCGATGGGCGGGGCATCGACAGACGACGCGACCGGAAGACAAAGCATACTGCCTGATAGGATTGTTCAAGGTGAACATGCCCTTGCTCTACGGCGAAGGTGATCGCGCTTTCACGCGCCTGCAAGAAGAGATCCTCAAAGAGAGCGACGACCAGTCCCTGTTTCTCTGGGGGATGCCAGAGGACGTTCAACCCTCGGATGACCTCTTCGGCTTACTTGCAAGTTCACCAGGCGCGTTCTCAAGGGTGGATTTTGACAATGTGCGACCTCTGCCTCCATCGGAATCCCAAGATAGTGCGCCGACAAGTGTCACTAATCAAGGGCTAAGAACTAACATCCTTCTCATCCCACGGCAGCCGAATGGGGATGAGTACTACGCTCTTTTGGATTGCATAGTCTCCAAGGCCGACTCTGCCAGCGAGGAGATGAGCCCTTGCATCATTCTACAACGACTTTGGAGTGACCAATTCGCAAGAGTTGCCTCTGAAGAGGGCTCCGTCATCTTATTTCCTTTGGATAATTTCGATGACGCAGAAGGGACGTACGAAAACATTTACGTCAAGGAAAACCCATTCTACGCTCTCCCTGAACTCAGTGTGAAAACAAAGCTTCGACCCAATTCAAAGGATGCTGTTTCTCATCTTGCCTTCACCATTCACGAAGCATATCCGCCGGAAAGATGGGACACCACACTATCCGTGATACGGACTAAAGAGCCGCACTCGAACCGCGCGATGGTCGTTTTGCGCTTCATGTCACTTGAGCAAAGCCAGCGATCAGTCGTAGATGTTGCCATTGGGCTCCGTCGGGTCAGGAGACGGTGGGAAGTGTGCTACGAGAAGCATCCCTACACTGGCAACAGTCTCGAGTCCGTCTACCTGGAGTTTTCCGAAATTGCTACTACGTCAGATGGCCCTGCATCGTACCAAAACTCAAAAGGCTTGGGTTTCATCACCATCGACGCCAAAGAGTCCCAGAGAAGAGGCCGACGATTTATTCAGCTGGAAGTTTCTGGTACTTCTGAACTTCTCTTCGCTCCAAGTGACGAGGGTGCTCTGCCAAGTACGCCTGGGCGAACTCCAGAGCCGCAAGAGCCTGTCGTACTGTTTGACGAGGTCGGCGCAGTTACGCGTTGCTGTTGTTATCAAGACAGGTTCACCCTTATGCTGGCACCGACACTTCCCATACCCGAGGGAGTGAGGACAAAGACGGCAGTCAACATTGCCATTCGATTTGGAAATGAACTCCACGCCGTCAAGATCGAGCAAAGTAAGCCATACGCTGATTTGATTCGGGCCGTTCGAGCGCGAAGTGATAGGGATGTCCAGTCACTTGCAAGGAAACAAAGAGGTCTTCTTGAGCTGCGAACAGAAGAGTTTGACGACTTCAGAGCCATTCATTGGGCCGCAACTCTTGGTTCGCTATCCATGCTCAAGACGTTGTTGAAGCTAGGTGCGAATACCATGAGTCAAACACGAAGCGGCTTTATGGCTGTTCATCTTGCTGTGCTCAATGGACACTTCAACCTCGCTGCGTATCTTCTGGAAGAAGAGAGAGAGTCAAATCTCAAGAAAAGACCCGACATTCTGCAGGGTATTACAACCGAGGTCCTGCAAGCTGAAGCCGAGATCGCGTTTTACTCTGGAACCGACCCCGACATTCTGCATAAGTTCACGACAAAAAGACTCGAGACCATTCTCCATCTCTTCTCCGCATATGCGCCTGCCGGACTGGCAAATCATAGGGTACGGAAGATTATTGATTTGATCAAAGAGGACTTCCTCGGCTCGCACTCATTCCCACACATCAATGACCTAGGCGAGCTTCCGCTGCATCGGGCGGCAGCCACGGGCAACATGCAGGCAGTAGACGCATTGACCAAGATGATGGGCACAACTAAGCATATCGACGCCAGAGACAACGCCGGACGATCAGTTCTCTTTCACGCAGCCTGCGGTGGAAGTAAAGAAGTCATCCGCGGCCTCGCAGATTTGGGAGCTTCGATAGATGTTGGAGACGACTACGGTCGCAGCCCATTACACGCCGCCGTCATGGCCGATCAGCCATCAGCTGCCAGCGCGCTTCTCAAGTTGGGGGCGAAAGCAGACAACGTCACCCATGCACTCGGTTTGACCCCCTTGCATTTCGCATGTCTTTACGGGTCTATCGGCTGCACTTACGAGCTCTTGAAGAGCGACGGGTCTGGACCGGCGGACTTGAATCGATGGTCGAGCGGCGAATATGCTTTCTTCCAACCGATCCATCTAGCTGTCGCCAATGATCATGTTGAGATTGTGACTCGGCTTGTGATGCTGGGATGCGACTTGGAGGGCCGGTGCAACGGTTATCTGAAGCTTGAGAAAACCGATGGCCCTGACGGCCGGATAGGCAGATTGGTGAACTTAGAATCACCATTGACGGCTCTCGATCTGGCCATTGTTCTTGGTAAGAAGGATATGTTGCCAGAACTACAGCAGACCAACGCAGCTCGACGGTACGAATAGAGACGAGATCTCGGAGTTTTCAGGGTTGAAGGAAGGACTAGCCGACCCGTGAGATCTTCTCGGACTTCGCGTATATAGTAGCAGCATAGAAGCTTAATTTCGAATGTACCAGGCCACAAAGAGCGACTCAGAGACGAATTCACCAATGGATAAACCTTTATCCCAAAGTCCTCTCAATAATCCATCCACAGATGAGCAAGGTTTTCTGATCGTAGCAATAAAGCAGCAAAAGTGCCCGGCGCAGCCGCCCATAGCCTCACTCGAGAAATCCGGACCCAATTTCTCATTGGCCGTTAAGATCATGACCAAGCGATTTGACATGGCTGTGGTGCGCTTCGGATGGTGCGTGACATCACGCTTGCTGAAGAAGAGACCCTTCAACCAACGACACCGCAAGACTACTGCGTAGACTCCGTTTCGCCCAGACTTGTCTCCACATAGTCCGCTTCGAGCTGCCCTGCCACCGCCGTCATGCTCGCTTTCCAAGAAGCTCGCTTACCACTGCTGTTGCTTCTTGAGGGAGACAAGTCCGGCTTGGCGGGAGGAATTTGAGTTCGCCAAAACATGCGGTATGAGGTATTTTACTAAAGAAAAACAGAAATTTTACACGATCTGCTTTGTCAGTTGCCCAATGCAATGGAGCCTCTCGTGTTGCGCCTCCGCTGCCCAGTATGCTTATATTGCTAGATCCACCAAATTGCAACCATCTTTCCCACATCCAGTTAGCCCTACCCAGTTTTGCGGAGTGCTATCCCTCCAGTACCGAAATTTGATAGTTGGACAAGTTTAGACGAGGATTATCAATCGCATCTTATCAATCTCATCGCTCGAATCATGTAAGTAGTTTAATAGCTCTGTCCTGCTGCCCGACGTCGCATGGCTTCAGGTTCCTCAGACTCTTGGCTGAGTGTCCTGTCCTTGTATCTTTGAACATCATTCCTCTCTCTTTACCCACCATGAAGTTCATCACCTTGAGCTCGGCGCTCCTCGCGCTGAGCGAGACGGCAGCAGCCCGCCTGAGCCTCCGGAGCAACACCACGACTACCCGCAACACAACCTACGACTACATCGTCGCAGGCGGTGGCACCGCTGGTATCGTGGCCGCCGAGCGCCTCGCCAACTCGGGTCGCAGCGTGCTTCTCATCGAGCGCGGTGGTACCTCCTTCTACATGACCGGCAACAACAAGACCATGCCGTGGAACAACACCGTCACCATGTACGATGTTCCCGGTATGGCCGACTTCACCGGTGCCTCTCCGGATCTGCAGTACTGCAGAGATCTCGCCATTGCCGCGGGATGTCTGCTCGGTGGCTCCACCATGCTCAACGCGCTCATGTACATCAAGCCTCGCTCGGCTGACTTCGCGACTTGGCCCGAGGAGTGGCACTGGGAGAACGGTGTTTCGGAGGCTGCGGAGGAGTTCTACAAGCGTCTTCCCGGATCTATCCTGGCGTCCGAGGATGGCAAGCGCTACGACGACGGCGCCTTTGAGGTGATGTCCAAGTTCTTGGATGCTCACGGCTGGAGCGAGCAAGATGCTCTGAACGACCCTGAGTCCAAGGAGCTCATGTACTCGCACCCTGCGTGGTCGGTAAGTAGAACAATTTTCCATCCGTTCCTGCCCATGAACGAACTGACACATTTCTTCTAGATCGCTCACGGTTTGCGCGACAGCCCCGTCCGCGCGATCCTCCCCGACGCCGAAGCCCTCCCCAACTTCACCCTAGAACTCCACTCCATGGTCCTCCGCGCCATCCGCGACGGCAGTCTCATCACCGGTGTCGAGGTCGAGCACGACGGTGGAGCCCGCGAGATCATTAAGCTCAGCAAGGGTGGATCTCTCGTCCTCGCCGCCGGCTCCCACTCCACCCCTCGTGTCCTCTTCAACTCCGGCATCGGTCCCGCCAAACAGATCGAAATCGTCGCCTCCGGTACCACCAACATCCAGCTGCCGCCCAAGGAGCAGTGGATCGACCTCCCCGTCGGCGAGAACCTCAAGGACCACGGCATTGCAACCGTCACCTTCACCACCAAGGAGGAGCTCATTGCGCTTCCCAAGACTGCTTGGACTGACCCTGACCAGGAGACTGTTGACCTCTTTGCTCAAGGCAGTGGTCTCATGGCCCAAGCCGGTCAGCGTCTTAACTTCTGGACCAGCGTCAACACTACCGATGGCGCTACCCGTCACGTTCAGGGCACTGTCCGTGCTGATAGCAACAACACAATTGGTGTCAAGGTCTACCTGACCCACGGCACCACTTCCACCGGTACTGTCGAGATCACTCCCAGCGGCGCGACGAACATGACCAAGAACCCCCTCATGCACACCGAGGGCGACAAGGAGGCTCTTACTACCTTTGTCGACCAGCTGCTCCAGTGGGCTCGCGAACCCAACAGCATCCTCACCGTTCCCGAGAATGCCACCGCGGAGGCTCTCGTGGCTGCCATCGGTGGTGGCAGCCATTACCTTGGCACCACTCAGATGGGCACTGCCAACGATGGCAAGAGCGTTGTCGACCCTGACACCAAGGTCTGGGGCACGGACAACCTCTTTGTTGTGGACGCTAGCATGCACCCCGAGGTCCCTACTGGTAACACACAGGCCCCCATCATGGTGGCCGCTGCTTATGCTGCCAAGAGAATCTTGGATCTCGGCCTCGGACTCGGCTGCTAGATTTGCTCACCATCACTAAATAAGGTGGCGATTGAGTTTGAGAGTTTGGGACATGATACCCATCTGTATAGATAAACAACACATGGATAGCCAGTGTTTGTAAAGTTTCAATGTTAATTCAGTGTAATAAGCTCCTCGCCGTGCTCACGTCCCTTGGGTGTATGCACATTACGTCATTCTCTCATTGTTGAGACGGTTTCTGTACTCATAGATCAGATGCGAAGACTTTCACCGGCGTAGTTTTGAACACACACCACAACTAACTCCCGTGAGGCACCGTGAAGCAGCCAGAACGTACGGAGAATGGCGGTGTCCCAGCGCGTGACTTGATGTATCCTCCGGCACTCAGATTACCCCCCGACCCCATTCTCAACCACACCATTACCTGCAAGTCTCCATCTCGGAGACTGAGGTCCAGCATTCCTTTTTTCCGGGAAAGGGGTCAGAAATCATTGATGCGCTGCAATAAGTATTCACCTAGAGGCAAAAGTTTCCAAAGATGTGGAATGTTCTGTTGAGGCCTAACCATGTACAAGTCGCTTTTTCAGGACTGCCGCGGTCGAAGCACGATATCAAAATCGGCGAATTGTGACAAAGGACTCAAAGCAACATGTATGTAGTAATAAAATCAACTGAGAACTCCGAACTCCGAAATGAATGCCTTATCTTTGCCGACTTCCAGAGATCGTGTTGTCACAATGGTTGTCACAATGCATCTCAGCCTGGGCATAAATCACGATTCTCATCGGTTTCCGCGGCCTCAGTGACCCATTCTATTCCTTAAGTCGCTGAATCAGATGAACAGTATTTAAACTTCCTTCACTTCGAATGAAAACTCCCTACTCTCATGTCCATAATAATGTTCAGTGCAACCGCGTCTACCGTTCTTTCCACATCCCGCGGCTTTCTGAGTACTGAGCCACTGTTCGCCTCGGTGTACACGGCGTATCTGCAGAAGACAGAGTGATCTGAATTATCATAACGCTGATGCTCTAACGAGAAGTCGATACAGAAGGAATATACTTCTCATGATGTCGTGGAGCCTACGTCGTGCTGAGGAGTCAAGACTTGGAACTGTGACGTAGTCAAGACTCTTTCATCAGGACGGCCCTTTCGCGAGATCGTCTCTCGATTTTATGACACGCTGGTATGAATACCGTTTTTTGGACTTGTCTCTACAAGTATAATTGACTGTCCAAAGTATCAAGTTGAGAGACATGAGACCAAGAAGTACCATCACAGATTTCCAAATACATGAATGAATCGTAGTCCACTTACTTTCCATTTCTTAATCATCCAGTTCCTCTCCAACTTCCATAACAACACTGAGGCACAGCGTGGTGACGGTTAACTATCGAACATTAGAGTCTGTCGTCATAAGTGCGCAACCAACTTTACTAATGCATCAGATGCTCTACGCGATTTCGAATAAATATCTTCTTGACAGATCATTTAATACTTAGAGACTTATAGAACGATCCTGAGACTCGACACTTCAATTCACGGTGAAGGTAAGCCGAGATTGGTACGAAAACCAGTTTTTTGCCAAAGAGCTATGGAAGTATGACCTTAACCGAGGCTCAGGCCATGCTGTATACAAGTCATACTGAACAGTTCCGTTCTGAATTAGCGTTGGCTCTGATCCACCAAGAGCGCTCAGACTTGTGCCAGGTTCCTTCCATTCCTAATCGAGTCCTGTTGTTCCCGTGATCCTACAGTACAAGTGTCTTGTCATAGTCGCTCGACGCCAGAGTGGGTCGGTCAACTGCCATCCCTGCACGACGGGTCGTAACAAACTCTCGATGCTCAACTCAGATTTAGACCCAAGCCGAGGAGTAGGCGTTCAGGTTTCCGAAGCCACCGGCGAAGACGCAAGCTATTTCATTGTCAGCGTGATTCTTTATTATCGTTTCCTCTTTTTCTCCTTACTCTTGAGGTAGTGGCCTCCAGCGAAGCTGAAGAGGTTGCTGCTGAAGAACGGGGTAGATCCGCCAATTCCCTCATCAACCTCACCAGGCTCTCCGAGGTAACGAATCTTGTCGACCTGAATAGGGTTCTTGTTCACATCGTAAACAATGGTTCCCACGTGGTGGTTTCCTCCACCCTTGACGGTGGTGGTAGTGCAGCCCTCCTTGTTTCCGTCCGGGCTGGTCTTCCACAAGACAAGGTCGACGACGGGAATGCACTTGGCATAGCTCTTGCCGTTGCTGACGAGGCGGCGCTGGACACAGATTTCGTTGGCGCCGCAAGGGGTATCCGTAATCTTCTCGCGGTTGCTGCGAGGGTTGGCAACGCAGAAGCTGTCAGACCGAGCGATCATAAGTCTGTCCAGCCGGGCAGCTGGTGTTGGGGAGCGTATCTCTAGCGACGATATCGGTCAAGTTTGCGTTCTGCGGCTCCAAATCAGCCGGAGTAATGTCGACATAGGTGAGAGTGTTCTCGGGCGTGCCAGTCAGATCTCTGACTTCAGCCAGAGGTCCAGCTGCGCAGGCAGCGGCAAAGACAGTGGTCAAAAGAATGTACTTCATCTTGAGTTTTGAAAGATCTGTTGGTAAGTGAGTGAGAAAGATGTTGATGTGATGAGATGATCGTGAAGCTGAAGTGTGGAATATTGAGGGTCTTTATATACTGTATCCTTCAAGCCAACTCGGTATTACACCCTCTGCACTTTATTCTCGTAAGCTCATAGCTGTCTAGCAAGGAACAGAAGATACTGTTTTTGGTTCCGGATATCCGAACATCATCACCGGTGCTTCACTGTTCGTGGTTTAGTTAGTTGCCTTGACTTACTGCTTACAAGAACAGCACTCTATTTAAGTTCTTGGTGTTTCTGTCTGCATAATGCTGTGAAAGCCCTACTATTTGGTTCTCCTAAGTAATTAGCTTTCATCAATTTGATAAATCTTTCTGGTGGCCTCCTAACGGTCTGGTTGAAATACTGTTATAGTGGTTAAACTAGCTCTAACTGATTTGGAGCCATAGTTCAACTAGATTCAGGAATACGAGCAGGTCGAGCGGCGTGACTAACAAAACAACAAGGCAGAAAGTCTCGATGATAATACCTACAGGCTCCAGCAATTTTATCCTTTTCTGGATATTACACAGCTATGCGCTTAAAAGGATTAACTGCAATGGGCATAGCACCAACCCAAACACCGCGCACCCCTGCTCCCCCTCGCGGCGCATGTTCGCGAAAAGGGGACAATCATAATGACCCTATAACCACACTTTAGAGACAAGAATGATGGCTTTTCGGAAAAGGAGCTGGCCGACGTAGTAGACCTGCTCGTGGTGTTAATGTCAGCAGCAAGGCCGGGGTGGCCGGTGTTGCGGGGGTGGCCGGTGCGTTGCGCGTGGTCAGAATCGTGGCCGGAATTCGCGGATGGACAACGTTTAGACGGTGGTTTGAAAAACTCTCAACGGGACTTTCGAACCCACGAACGCACTAGACGTATTTTTTGCAGTCCGAGGCAATGAATTTGCTCATTTCGTATTCAGGGCTCCCCCACGAATGAGGAAATATTGTTCCGCTCTTTGAGTTGCACGATATCCAGCTCAGGACTTTGCGTCTCGGGCGCACCATGCAAGAAGACCTTCTCTGAATGAGTGAAAGACCACCAGCAAATTTGATTCTCTGCAACGATGCACGAGAGTTACAAGAGCTGCGAGTGCATTTGCAAATTTGCACTGAGGCTGCGTATTGATATAATGCCGCTATTTATACGAAAGCAGGGTTTCATGTTGTTTTCATCGCCTAGAAATAGTTGATAATACGTCGGAGTAGCCTGCGACGATCACTTTTCCAAAGGATACAACGCGGGGAAATGTCTCCAACTGTGGGCGAGACTGGGCCTCGGGAAGAAAAGGTGGTCTAGATGAATTCAATTATATTAAGTGAGGCGCTGTTATTGAGAAATTAGCTTTGAAGCTAAGTCCTGACAGCAAAAGTTAACTCATCAGATTACCAAGCCGCTTATGGCTAAGCTTTGAGGCTCTACTCAAGCATTTTGGAACTTATGTAGAGTTTGTGCTGCGGTGATCTAACCACAACGGGAGAGAGTTCACGAATACAATTCAGCACGTTTTCCTCCGGAGATACGGAGTACATTGACCCTATCCCCAGGCACATTGGTCATCCTCCGTCGCGAGTCGCAGGGTCCCCTCGCTTACTGGATTAGTACATGTCTCGGCGAGAGCGTTGAGATACCTTGGTTAGAGTTCGCGCCGCGGAGATCTGATGGTAAGCGTGGAAAGCACACAAAGTCAACTCACCCACGTGCTCCTCACCCTTTTAGGGAAATTAGATACGTTGACTTTGGAGACCCTTCATGAAAACGAAGGGAGTGGCATCACAACAGTCGGCCTCTTCCTGTCCAGAGCTATCGCCCCTGACGACGGAAAACAGGCCGAATTTACATAGATAGTGCTGCTTCAGTACTCATAGCTTACAAATATCTTGCCGCAGATCAGGTGACTCGATGTTGAGGAGGATTGGGCTCTTGTCACGTTGAGGACGTTGGTAGTGAGATTGCCGTCGCTGATGTGCTGTAGAATTAGATGAGACTAATTCGCGACCTGGTGCTGTCATGATCTCGTGTTCAGCACTACGAAAAAAGACGGTATGCGAGGGAGATTGTGAGTGAGCCTAAGGATTGGGTCGACGAAGTGGCAGTACGGTAATGCCCGTTTAAGTTGGGTCGTTCCGAAAGCGGATGTGCCGTTGCGATCAGAACACCCTTTTCTCCGTTCACTGCGTTTTTAGCCCACACCAAGGAAATCTGCGGACAGTTTTTCTCATACGTTTTCTAGCCCATCAATCACGCAAGCATGCCTCTGACAGACCGATGGCGCAGCTTTGGGCTTACCGTCAGCGAAGCAGGCCTCCCATAAGACCGCCTCACCTATAAGTCTACACCGCTAAGTCTTTTCCGCTCTACGTGCCGTTTCGGAGAAGCGATGGGACAAAGTGGCTGGAATTACCCAGTGTGAAGATCTATTGTAAGAACCTGGCCGTCGATTGGATATGGCGATACGTGAACCCGTGCGTCGAGCTAACTGGCGTATGCATGCACTCGAGGCGAATCCCCATTGCCTCCCAAGGCCACGCACTAATGCAGCCTGTATCTGCAGGCAATCATGCATAATTTGAACCCTCACTGCATTTTTAACTCACCCCAAAGGAGTGGTTCCTCTGCCTAGGCCATAGAGGACTGGGTGGTGAATCCATGGCGAAAAGTTTCATTCGTTCAAATTAGGAACATGACGACCAAAATCAGAAATGCTTCAAAACTTGTCCACGATGAATTTACCCGGAAACTGCCGAGGAATATGGTGGAGTTCCTAGCAAATACAGTTGTCCTCCACGGAGCTGTAAACGGCGTGTCTTTCACACGCATGGCACTATGCCATGTGGCCTTGTTGCATCCAAGAACGCGTTGGCCAAACTTGCGCTCACACAACGGCGCCTTCTATTGTAAGTTAAACATGAGCCCCAAGTCATAGGGTATCAACTATCAAACGCGCGGTCTCCTCATGAACTAAGGAAGTAGCGATGGTTTCCGAGGTTGAGTGTGCCATCTCGCCTCAAAGAAATATTTGTGGAAAGCTTCGGTCGTCATCGGTGAGCTAGACCTCTACCCCAGACTTCACTACCGACAATAAGTTAGAGCCGTAAGGGAACAAAGACAGTCTGTCTTTTCGTGCTTCAATGTGATTTCCATACGTCAGCGCTGACTGTAAGATCTCTGTCTTTCCAAGTTGGAAAACCATAGACTCTCAATCTGGAACACTGTCCAGAGATTCAGACTGTCAATAGGTGTACGACGCAGGGAAGAAGCTCACAGAGGCCAACTGATAAGGGGGGTAAAAGATGAATTACTGAAATCTGCTCCTACCGCGAAGTGAACTCTCTGCGCTCTATATATGCGCGAGCTGCTCCTTTGTTGCTTAGACCTCCCCTATTGATCCTATGCTAACCCCTATCCGGGCAGAGCCTGACACAGAGTCAGGGAGTAAATGAACTCAGTTGCCATTGTGGTCTTTACTTCTCGTAGGGGAGTCGAAATGTTTCCAGATGTTGATTTTCAGTTCTGTTGATTGATTGTTTGGAAGCTATCTTCATCAGATCATGGCTTCAATAATGGATCGTGACATGGCAAAACTCGAGGAGGATTTTCAAAACGTGGACTACAATGTTTTATTTCCGATTTCGTCAGATCTGGAACATGCAAGTTTACATTCATCCAAAGTGTTCATAAAACTCCGACAGCTTCCTGAGAGCATTCCAGACTATACTTTGTTCACCAATCTAGTAAGTAAGACAAGATGATGATATTGCTGATCTATAAGTCAAACCCCCCACTTCCTGGCACCCCCCTGTTTCTGGCACCCACAAAAACGATGGGATCACAACCCAACCTCCTCATTACTATTAACTATTGATCCTCAACCACACCCACTACAATACAACTGCCAGCCTCACTAGGGCATTCAGAGTCGCTGGATTCAGCCGTAATAACCTCCTTTTCACCCGCTTCGATTTGAGCCCGATGGATATCCCTGATGTTCGCAAACTTCGTGTTGGGATCGATCTGAACAGTCTTCCTCTTCCTAACTGCAGCGTTGGTAACTTGAGCCCTCAGGTGAGCCAGCTGCTGCTGGGCAGCTGCCAGTTGCCAGGCCTGCTCTGTGAAGCCTTTTTTCACCTTCCTGAACAGCAGCCGTTGAGTGCTGGTATCATTGTCGAGTTGGGTGTATAAGTGCAGTTGACCGCTGAGCTCTGCCAGCTTCCTGGGTGTCGACCAGACCACTGCAGAGGAAGCAGAATCCCATGGCTCAACAGGGGTAGTTTGTTGACCATTATGGCATCGCTTTTGCCCCGACTGGTTGGTTTGGGTGTGGTGGGCTTAGCAGAAGGCTCAGGTAATACCATAGGGTTCATCAGGGGCTTAACCATCGCTACAGGGTGTAGACCAGTCCACTTCCAACCACTTCTGATGTTCGAGACTGATAGACCAGCAAGTCGAGCCTTCTGGTAACAGTCCAGGAAGTTCCTTTACCTATAATGGTAGAGTCGTTCCATTGAGACAAGTAACCGAGCTCCTTCCGATAGGCTGACTTAACAGGGCTGAAGACAGACTGGTCAAGTGGCTGGAGGACATGAGAGGAGTGGTGGTAAGAACAGTAAATGGATATTGTTAATATAGCAATTCCACATGAAGTCTGTCGTCGTATGACTCCCATGCCCATCCACAATCAACAGTCGAGCCTCGCCCTCAGCCTCGGGCATAGTCTGTGGGATAAACACCTTCTCTAACCATTCAATGGCAGTTAAGTCTGTAGTCCAGCCATTATCTGTTGCTGTAAACTCCCACCCATCGTATGGAACCAGATGTAATGGAAACCACTGTTGTTGGACCGTCTCCCTTGAAAATGATAAGAGGACGAAGTGCCCTACCCAAGGCTGAGATACACTCAATGATAGAGACCCATGCCCTCGACCCAGGTTGTTTCTTGCGAACAGACGTCG